TTGCCGGAGAGTAAGCCAGAAATATAAATTGATATTGATTCGAACATAGAACTTTTAGGTCGAAATCGGGCTAGTAAATCGCTAAGTCAACATTATGGCAGTCCATTCTATAGTTATCAATTAAAAAAAAACATGGTTTACGGAGTCGTGTCTTCTTTTTTGTGCAGAATTGTTTATGATAGATTCAGATATGCAAGGTCTCTAGAATTTAAAATTTTAATGGAATTAAAGTATTGTCAAGTTTACTACAGCAATTATATTAACTATGTCTGTTACCGTGGTTACTGTAGCATTAGTGTAATTACTTTCTTTAAAGTAGGGGAAACTTGAATAAAATTATGTAAATATTATTTCTCCAAACGAGAAGCCGCTCCATTTGGGTTTGAAAGGGAAGATTTTGTGGCACTATACTTGAACACGAAGCATAATGTTTTAACCTAGTTTTCATTATGTGTTCCGTCAATTGTTTGCCCTGCTATTTTGTGTTAAGCAGTTTGTTTTAGATTTCAACTCTTCACCATAAAATTTATACGATTTAAGTAGAAGTACTATTAAGCTACCATTATTATTATAATATTATACTACAAAATATGTATCTATATTATTATCTATATCTAAATTAATTTATATTTTACCTGTAATTTTACACAGTGAATAACCCAGAAAGGGTTATAATAAATGTAATGTTCACAGAGATAGAAAAAAACCATTCACGTGGAATGATCACGTTGCGTAGCGATTGTCATACGCAGATATATTTTGTGATAGGTTCACTGAAATAATACAATGATTGACGTCATATTCGATTGTGTTTATTACAAATTCAGAAACCGTAATAATCAGTGAACATAAAAAATCATAGGATTCACTGATAGTAACGTGTAGTTAATAAATTTTTATATGATTAGTGTAGACTAATTAGTCCGTTTTAATTTAACTTTTCATTTATAGCAACATAAGAATACATACGTTGTGAACTAAAAAAATATGTTTCGCGTGCATATTGAACAAAACATTCTCGATTCAAACAGAAAATACTGTTTGTAAAGATAGACAGATACGTGATGGATTCAATTCATTGTTGTAAATATCGTAACTATCCGAACAAACTGTAAAAACTAATGAGTTCAGTTAGCTATGTTGCAAACTATTTTATATGTAGGTAGGTAGGTAGGTAGGTATTAACTGTTTGCCTGTTTTTTATACTTTCTGTACTTCCTTTTCCTCTTTTTAAATAATACATATTTTAATATGTATGAAAGAATGCATTTTGCAGAATTCTTTATTTTCTTTATATGAAGTATGAGTAACAACTCGATGCATTATAAATAAATAATAATAATAATGTATATATAATAGTGGTCGCTCAATGGTCGATATTCGACCATAAATAGTCTGAACATTATTAACGTTCAATTGTCAAAGATTACTTCTATATATGTCAAACTCCGTATTTCCGAGAAATCTTCTTAGAAATGGGATTCAGTGAGATGCCAACGAAAGTCTGCGTTGAAAACTCGTTCTGGAACTTTGATGCGCGTATACATACTTTCTTGGAGCCCACAACATTCATTTTGTTTTATTTCTGTCATATAGTAATATACAATAACGTAATTAAACATTGTCAAAAAGTTACACTTTCGTTCATTTGTTGTATATAATACAGTCACGTACAACCCAATATATGTATGTAACTAGTTGTACAGATGGATGACTTAGAAACAGTTGTAATAATTACATAATAAGACGTAATTTACCAAGAAATCTAAATAGAAGATAATTAATTAATGATACTTATTTGTACATGTGAAAAAAAAACAAATGCAAGTCTCTTATTTTTGCTAAGCGATGTAGGCACGTAATTTTCAAGTGCATGTGAGTAAAAATAAAAGCTTTATGATACATTACTCCTTATGCTCTCTATAAATACTACCTGATATGTCATTTAAAGGCTTTCGAGATTATGTTCACAGGTTTATCGTGGACACTTCGACGACTTTATTTCACGGTCTTGGATACTTAAATGATATAATAACTATTTTATAGTATTGTGGTTTATTTTATATACCAGGATGGTGACAAACTAACATTTTATTGTAGTTGACGTAATTCCGCTTTCATTTTTATTAACCTTGCATTATCTGCCCTAAATAAATTGCGAAGAAAAGCTTATTTCAGTTTTTAGTAATATCTATGTTTACTTTTTTTACTGACAAACATAGATTAGTAATGGGCATTAGTAGCCTCTTTTGCTAGCAATGTGACCGGTTAAATTACATGCTGTGCCTAGTGGAAACCATCGTGTTCAATTCGTCATGATTTTCTGATCTGAATTCATGCTTATTCTATTATCTTCAATATATATATTCTGTCAGCATATACCGTTAGTGCAGATGAGTGTACTACCTCATTTTCATCCATTAAATTAAACATGACAAAATAAAATACATTTTATTACTAATGCGAGTGAATATTTACTGCAAATACCTATGTAATTACTAATCAAACATAAACAAAATCTGCGGTCTACGTGAGCAATAATAAATAATTTTCTTGATTCGTAAAGTATCTAATTTTGAAATCTGTAAATGAAAAGTAGATACAATTACTGTATTTTTTTTCTTTTAGTTAATATTTATAGAAAAATGTATATATTCTTACTGTAGATTTGACTATGCCTTGATGGATCAATATCATAATAACTTAGGTTATTTATTTAAGTACACTAGTAAACGGAGTAATGACTATTTCTGATATCTGCTATTTTAATTATTGTTGTGATTTAAAATGCTACTATACATTCGTGGTTCAATATATTTTTGAATCATTTAAATAACATTGCATGATTAAATTATTTATCTAGTTCCTATCTAATTTTTCTTCTGTACGCGAGTTTGAGAGTGACACCTATCTCTTCACAAATGGCTAGACCGATTTGGATGAAACTTTGCGTTTATATTTCAGATTGAATCGTTTCAAAATATGATGACACCGCGTCGGCGAGATCTGCTAGTCTATCTATACTAATATTTTCGTCAAGGGGTACGGTAGACTCGAGAACGAAACCTTATGTGAATAACAAAACATAAAAAATTATTGATTTCGAGTCGACAACATATATCCGCCAAATTCGGATTATGGAGTATTTGCTACTGTTAAATTCTAATGACACTGACAAACAAACTGCAGTCGCCATCTTTTCATGTCACTAGCTAACAACCAATCGACCGCCGCGCCAAAGATCCATCACAAAGAACTGTGACATGACATGTGTCGTTGACGTTTCGCGAAAATATAGTTTTTGACACTTTTCTATGATAAAAGAGTATACAGTTATGTTTTTTTTCTTTAGATTGGACAATTGCGAGACAAATTTGACAATATTTTTTTTATTAATTTGTTTCACGGTTCTGGATACAAGTCCTTTTTAGCCCAACTTAAAGTTTTACAATATAAATTCCAACAATTAAAGTTAATGTCCAATGTCAAATAATAATAAATGTCAAATGTTGTTTCTCTGTTCTGATGAACTTATTAAAAAAAAACTTAATAACAGTCACCATTTCTTCACATTTTATTATCACATACATAATTCCAGGAATTATTATATAGGTTATACGGAAATAATGTGTGGGTGTTTATTTAAAAAGCATTAACACAAAATTAATAAAGTATAGGTAGGTATTAATAAATATATGATTGTTGTATCAAAATAGATTTTGTTATTTTTTACAAAAAAATGACCTTTTCATAGTATCATATATTATTTAACTGATTGTAAGAAAAAAAATTTTGGTATGTAGATTAATACTGTAAAAATTACTATTTGTACGGAAACGACAAAAATATTTTTTTATTCTGTATAACACTACAACAGTAGTGGAAACATTAGTATATGTACGTAAATTATACAATTCTGTTATGGAAACGTCATATTAAACTTTAAAACTAATTTGTTAGAATAAAAGTTTCCGATTAAACAAATCGGTATGGCTACCCCGCTACAGCTGGTAACATTTTTTTTTGGTGCTGTTTATCCTTAATCGGAAAAGCAAAGGAAACTGCGCCCATACAGCCGAGGTGGTAACATTATTTGAAAATTTGACATTTAAACCTGTCAATTTAGTCTCCCGGATTAAAAAACAAACTATAACCAAGTATGGCACTTACAAATTAATTACTAAGCTACTTGGTGTCCCTGTAGCCCCAAGCTGTTTATAGGGGATCGACCATAGAGTGGGAGCAAATGGCTAACGCGGGGCGAGAGGGAAGGTTGAAAGGAAGAGGAAATGGATAGGAAAAAGAGGAAGAAGGGGAAAAGGACGGTGGTGGACCACGTCGTCGTACTGAAAGAGCGACAAAACTAGGAACTCGGCAAATCCCGGAGAGTCGGACTAAGTTAAAAAAAAAACAATGAAAATGACGATCAAGAATGGGAACGCTGTTTGGATGAAGCAATTGGTTTTAAATATCTGGCAAAGTAGAGAGTGCTTAAAACAAAGAGGTTAACAGAGAATAAACCTTGAAAGTTATATGTTTTGTTAATTTATTTTGAATGTTGATTTAAAATAAAAATTATTTCTATAAATACTTTTGCACTTATTATTTAGTATAGTATTTATTAAACACAATGAACGAAGCTTTACAAATCTATGCCTTGCTTACCTTTAATATTCTTTGAGAACCGATGTTTACAGAAATATCAACCCGAGCGAAGCCGGGTTTTCATCTAGTAGTTTATAAAATATACATTAATTCTTAATATTGTAATAATAAGACTTATATATAGGAAACAAATTTGTATGAGTATTTATTAAAACTATCTCGAAATGTAATTAACAATATTTAAAGTTATCTTTTAAAAATACCGTACCTAATAGAGGGATCGGAGAACTATTTTGCTAAAGGCACGGAATCCTAAAATGAGATGAAAGGTGAAATGAATTATAACAATTCTTCTCCTATAAATAGTACTTTGTAATAAAAAAATATTTAGTAGTAGTGGAATTGATCGACTGCAACATGAGGGCTGTAGTGGTGCTGGCGTTATGCGCCTTGGCTACTGCCAGTGCTGGTGTAGAGGATGTGTTAGGTAAGAAATATTTTTTTTTTATTGATTTCTATTACTATTACTATGCCTCCTATATATTTTTTTATAATTTCGCAAATTAATAAATACAAAATAAAGAACTGAACTGTAGTTTTATTCCCAACAATTACATATACGATATTTGTTACGATAGAGTACATTGCATATTACATATGTTATGTGTTCTTAGACGAGAAATACGAGATGGAATTAAATGTGATACATAGATATATAATAGATAGATAACAATAAGTAATGTAGAATATCTGTTTATTAAAAAAAACTTATGAAAGGTTTGTGCTTGTTTAAGATTTGTTTTTATACTTCTTGTTTATTTTATGTTGATTATTTTTTTATTGTCACTGATTTTTATTTTGATTGCTATTAGAAATATTATAGTAGGATCTGGTTACATGCGTTGTCCTGTGCAATATTTGAAAATTGGTGATTTGCTGCTTCAGCAAACAATACACTGAAGTGCTGTTTTTTTGTGTATGGGCAATGCACATGTACTACGTTACTCATACGTTGTTTATATTTATAGTTTGTAACAATATAGGTTAACTGAGCGATGTAGTTGTGTATTTACTTTGCTATTTTTGTTTATACAACTGTACCTTCTGTGTGTAACGGCTAACGCAAATAAATCTTTGTATGTACTTATCGATTTAAAAAAATAAAGTTAAATATAAAATTCTGAGAAAATCTCAGTATTATATTGTAACATTTTGCAAATTTTTTTAGGTAAAATGGACATCAAACAGAGACAACTTATAATTCTAAAATTATTGGATCATGTAACGGAACCGGTAATATACAAGGAAATCCAGGAAATTGGTGTGAACTTTAATTTGGAAGAAAATGTTGAATTATTCACGGTAAGTAAAACAAGCTTTGCTCTTATTAGTCAAGATTAACCGAATTTAGTAAAGCTCAATATTTATAATTTTTATGCAGTATATATGGAATTATATAATACATATAAATAAATTATTCAATTCCAATAAAGAAGTAAAAAAATACATCTATTCGAATCTAAGTAATGAAACGTAAAAATTTAATAATAATGAAAAATATGTACATAATAGTTTTGTTTCTATTTCAGAAAATTGAGGTTGTTAATCATCTACTGGATTTAATTAGAATAGGTGTATTACCTCGTGGAGAAGTTTTCACACTCCATGTTCCACGTCATATGGAGGAAGTGATTACCATGTTCCATGTACTATTTTACGCCAAAGACTTCGCAACTTTCGTTAAAACAGCGTCTTGGATGCGCCTTAACCTTAACGAAGGCATGTTTGTCTACGCTCTTACTGTTGCAGTCAGACACCGTCCCGATTGCAAGGGAATCATCTTACCTCCACCATACGAAATTTATCCATACTTCTTCGTCCGCGGAGATGTGATCCAAAAATCATACTTGATTAAAATGAAGGAAGGCCTTCTAGACTACAAGCTCAGTGAACACTATGGGATTAAAAAGACAGAAAAAGATATCTACATTATAGATGAAAATATGTATGATACACGAGTCTTTCTTAACATTGAAGATAAGCTTAGATACTTTACTGAAGATATCGACCTAAACACTTATTATTACTATTTTCATGTAGATTATCCATTCTGGATGAATGATGAAGTTATGAGTAAGGTTAATAAAGTCAGACGTTTCGAACTTACAATATACATGTACCAACAAATACTTGCGAGGTATAATCTTGAACGACTTTCAAATGGACTACCTGAAGTAGAACCATTGGCACTAAACGAACCTTTAAAAAATGGATACTGGCCTTGGTTAATGTTGCATAATGGAATTGAAGTTCCTGTAAGGTTAAATAACGTTGATGTTACTACTGAGGATAATGTCAATAATTTACTTTTAATTGATACTTACGAATCGATGATAAAAGAAGCTATCATTAAAGGATATGTCACCGTAAGTATTTATTACCGTATTTATTACTATATATAATATATGAAACTGATAACCTACACAGTAAAGAACATTATAATAGCTGTATGTTTATAAATATACAATTTGTTAACAGATTGATAGTGTTAAATTGGAACTCACCACATCAAAAGACATAGAAACTCTTGGCAAAATAATCTATTCTGATATGACGATACAAGCACGGGACCTGACAAACCGAAATATGATTTTTACATCTTATCGGTACTTACTAATTATTATGAAATCTGTCCTCGGCCTTAACGCGTTAGTTCCTGACAGGTATGTACGCTATCTCGTCAATTTTTTTTTATCAAAATCAGGTACTATTTATATATGTATATAATATAGGTCCGGGCGGCTCCGATAAAAAAATCAACAGGCAATAGAATTTTTGTTGAATTGACCATAATATATGAGACATACACACTCCTCTCGTCATTCCTTCGTTTGAAATGTGACTAATAAAAGTTTTTTTTCATAACGGTAATAAAAATAATAACAGTAATTTATAATTTTCAGTCTATTTGTGACAACGACGGTGTTAGACCATTATGAAACTGCTCTTCGAGATCCTGTATTTTACCAACTACAAAAACGTCTTCTTGACATTGTCATTTTGTTCAAACTACGTCTTCCCAGTTACACTAAAGAAGAACTTGGGTTTCCTGGAGTAAGAGTAGAGAATGTAGTAGTTGATAAGCTTGTAACATATTTTGATGACTATTTAATGGACATTACAAATGTGGTCAAACTGACTGAAGAAGAACTTAAGAAGAGCGCTTCCGATGTAAAACTCATGGTACGCAAACAACGTCTCAACCACCAACCTTTCAAAATCAATATTGATGTCGTTTCTGATAAAACAGTTGATAGTGTTATTAGAATATTTTTAGGACCGAAATTTGATACATTTGGGCGACTGATTGATTTGAACAAGAACCGTTTGAACTTTGTCGAAATCGACAGTTTTCTCTATAAAATAACGACAGGTAAAAATACGATTGTAAGAAACTCAGTAGATATGCATAATTTAGTACGCGATCGTATAATTACACGTGATATTTGGAAGAAAATTGAAACAGTAACTGAGATGAAAGGCCTTTTGGTTAAAGATCTGAAAAATTTCCACACTGGGTACCCTAGTAGACTACTTCTTCCCAAAGGTCAAATTGGGGGTATGGAATTCTTACTATACGTAATTGTTAGTCCACTAAAGATGTTAGATAACATAAATGAAATAGATGAAGATGTTCTAAATGTAAATCATAAAGTTGTTGAATATAGATCCACTGTTCTTCTAGATAAAATGCCACTGGGTTTTCCATTTGATCGTCATATTTTACCTGTTAAATTCTTTACTCCTAACATGAAATTTGTAGATATTATGGTTTTCCACAAGAGACAGGTATCTGATATGAAAGCGCGATGGGAACGATGGGTGCTAAGGGACTACATGTTGGAGAAGACACCAGCAAATTTAGACTCTTATTTTATCGACTCTGACGTTACTATGAAACTTGTTAATCGTGACATCAAATTAGTGGATTTATTACAATAAATTGTATAGGTCCAAATTTCTAATGATTCTTTTTATACTAGTGTGTTTAATAAATTTCAAATTATGACAATGGCTTCTTTATTTCCTAGAATATTATCTTTAAATTGTTTATTTCTCTAATATACTAACATCAAATTTCATTTTTTTTTAATTCAAGTACACCATTCTCTTATTCTAAACACCACAACAACTACGAGATCGTATTTATAGCAGGTATTGGTGTATAGTAAAAACAACTCTGGACAATTCACACAGTGCCATCTAGCACCAAGTTACGCACCGCTTATTTTGTGTTATGAGTACTAGACAGCTGATGTAAATACTTAGATATTGTTTTTTGTAAAAACATACATAATATACATAGAAAATACACAGACCAATACAAATATCACACTCATGAATATATATGTTTGTGCGATCGTTCGAGAATTCCAACTCGAAAATAAAGCTAGCTAGCTAAACTGCTAGACCATCTAGGCCGTGTATAAAAAAAAATCTAAATCTAATCATTATTACAAGAGAAAACATTATTTCAATCACATATTTTGTAGTTTAGATCACATATACATATTATATTTTGCAACAAAACAAATTATAAGAATACTAATTAGCGCCATTTAGTCCTAAATACTGACTACTATTCACATCTACAGTTGTTATAAATAAAAAGTAAAGGTTATTTATATACTTAATATTTTCGATTAAAAAGTATTTTTTCTCAAAGCTTCAACCAAGCTGTTACCTCCCGTTGCAGAAATTTCTGAAAATCTTTACACCGCCCATGTAGATTTACAATAACCGTCTATGTACTTCAGACCAATTATATCTATCTTAAGACTGTATTTAGCATCGTTACAAAAAGAAAAGAAAAGAATAGATCAACATTCTACATACATCACGATATTACAAAAGATGGCAATAGAAACCGTCAATAAATCTAACACGAAGTAATCTGAATTATATGTATAATTATATCATAACTCACACAGCGTCATTTAGCTCCAAGCTAAGGAGAGCCTGTGTTTAGTAGACAACTGATACATTAATTTCGTAAACATATACTTAATATATACAGAAAAAACCCAGACTAGCTCAAACAATGATACTCATGAATACAAATGTTTCTACCGTGCAAGGAATCGAACCTGCGACCACTGGCTGTAAAGCGCAATGGTCGCAAGTGCACCGCTGGATGCACCATTAGATGTTATCCTGTAACACATGTGATACCTTACCGCTCATGCCTTGCCTTGCTTAGGTGTAATGCTTCTTACCGTGGAATTTTGCAGTTTTTCTGCTGACAAAATGAAATATTATAGTATCAAATGTTATAGCGAAACACCATTGTCTTCATAAATAGTAACTATTTAGAAAGTATACTGAAATACTATATACTGAAACGTACTTAAGGACTTAATTATCATTTGATCTTCATTATCACCACTGTGGAATAAAAAAAAATACTACAACAAAATCGCTACTATATGAATTAATCTCAAGGGTCTGTTCTTTCTGCTAGATTTTTGGGGTATGCTGACAATAGTATTATCTCACAATGGTACCTGCTTGATAGTAGCAAAGACATCTGTTTGGGGTTATTGCCACTAAAACCCAGGCTTATATTTTTACCACAAAAAAAAATATTGAATGTATTTATAATTACACAAAACGCTTGTAACCGTAATATATGTACAATGTAATATATGTACAATAAAATAATATTATTCGAGAAGCTATTCAGTCATGTACTTCAATCTGGTAAGTACCTAAGACTATGAGATCGCAGTATAATTAAAATCTTAATATCGCAATGGCGAGTATACATTTGAGAAAAAAAGAATAAATATATTTCTATCTATAACAGTGGGAGTCAAAGTAAAACTGATTCCGTTTACTCGTATCTTTACCAAAAACTCGACATATATCGATTCTAAGAAGACCTCGTGATATATTTCTAGAATTTCTAATATCATTGTAAAGCAACCATATACATCAATTTATATAGTACATGCACTGTAGCATAATAATAGTAATAACCCAGAAAAAATGACATAGTGCTATTTAGATCCATGCTAAGCAGAGCGAGTACAATAGATGGACACATACCAATACATTTATTTTGTAAATACATACATATTATAAACATAAAGCGGACATATTGTGTATTGTGTCGAGAATCGAACCCCAAGAAATAAGACAATATGCTAAAATACCAAGGTCGATAAATGTAAGTATGTAGTGAAAATTGACTCCATTACTATAGGTTATTAATGTAAGTAAATTCTATATAGTTTATGATCTACTACTTTACACAGAGTACACTGCACAGAACACTATTATAAAATAAATCACACTTTTATTTTATAATAAATACATGTTTAATAAGCTCCGTATAAATGCCCGGAGCCAATATTAAGCCCGGATTTGTAATTGCTGAATATAACAAGTTCGATCCAACAATAAATAACATAACGATGCATTTACAATTTCGATAAATAATTACTGCAAATACGATGTGTTTGTAGCAAAGATAAATATAGGTACATATATGTATGTTACGAAGAAAAGCACTATCAGGATTAATAAATATTTACGTTCTTTTGTATTATTATTTTCGTTATTCTAACAATTAATGAATTTTTAAATAAATCCTATGTATTGCACATTATTTCAAATCTTTATATATAGGTTTTATATATAGGTTCTTTTTTTATTAAAACCAGTTTTATAGTTACGTGTACTTCTGAAATAAACTTGTTTAAATAAAGTCTATCTAGTGTGAAACATTAATATTATTTGCCTTTTCTTATAAACAAAACATCGAGTTTAATTAGTTTAAAAAAAATCATAGTAGCACGTTTTGTATGGGGTAAGACACATTTAATAGGCGTTAAATCAAAATTATATAAACCAATTCGACTTTTAATAATATTAAGAATAAAATTATAGAATTTAATTTAATTTTCTTGTAACGTTATATAGGTATTTATATATATTTTAAATATTTAGAAATATATTGACTTACTTCCATCCACGAGTGACTCAATAGTCACTCGTCGGTTATTGAATAAATTAAAATAAAAGTACTATTATTTTAATTTATTCAAAAACCGACGAGACTGTAATATTATAATTTTGGAAGTATGTCAGTCTGTATGTTTGAAATGAAATGAAAAATCTTTATTGTTCTCTTTACAGAATAAGAGCAAACATTTACATACACTATTATGTACCAATATAATATATAAATATGTATAAACACACAGCATTGAGCACGAGAAAAATGCAGAAATTAGTGTTTTGTTGCCTTTTTACAACTAATCGGAACATAATGAATTTAAAGTGAAGATACATTGTATCATCCGAAATGTCAAAGGTTACTTGTTTCATAAAAATAAATAGAAATAGTCACGGGCAACAACTAGTAAATATAATAATAGTCGGCGGGAATATCACTTTAAATTGAGTTTACAATATCACGTTATCCTTCAACAATTACGATTACATTTAAAATACTTACAATGTATAAACACTAGATAACCGAATAATAAAAGAGAGATGCATAGGGCATCTTTTATACCTATAGGCACTTAATAATAAACAATTATTATTGTATAAATAGACCTTGTTCGTGAGCAGTTGTCTAGTAGAGGTGGAAACGGTGGTCTGAAACATGGGGGCAGTAGGAGTGGTAGTGTTGGCTTTATGCGTCTTGGCTACGGCCAGTTCTGAAGTGGACAATCTATTAGGTGAGAAATTGCTACAATAATCATCACATCTTCAGCTTTGTACCCTTGTCTCATTTATTTTAATTTACTTTCATATTCTGCATGAATATACTAGTTTTATTGAATATACTATACTATATATAAATAATTTATAATAATTAAAAAATTCTAAGAAGTGTTTTAATTATTAATCATACAGTCGATCATCGACATTGTAGTAAAGATATGTCTACAAAGATTCGATAACTACACCACGTTTTTTTTAAAACTTGTACTAATATTCCCATACTGTTTCACTTCTATATAATATTATTATTAATCTATATTATACTGTCATTACGATATTAATTTATCATTTTTCCTCTTCACGTTTATTCTATAAGATGTTGTGTCTTTTAGGTAATATGGATATCAAACAGAGAGAGGTGATGATTCTAAAATTATTGAATCATGTTACGGAACCGGTAATGTATAAGGAAATTCAGGACATCGGCGTTAACTTTAAATTGGAGGAAAATGTGGAATTATTCACAGTGAGTAGTAAAAATCATTATTTAGTATTTAGTACAAGAAGAAGCTTACATTACTTTTATTTAGGTATACTTGTCAATTTTATTGGACATTCATAAAAAAATACCGACTAATAATAATATACCTTCATGGCTATAATGACAATTAGGATAATATGACACAATCGACTTTCAAGGTCATGGTGGGTAATTTTAAAAATTCTTAATTTCAGAAAACCGATGTTGTCAAACGCTTTGTTAATTTGGTAAAAGTTGGACTACTACCCCGTGGTGAAGTTTTCACACTTTCCGCTGTACGTCAAATGGATGAAGTGATCACCGCATTTCACGTTCTGTACTACGCCAAAGATTTTGCCACATTCATCAAAACTGCGTCTTGGATGCGCCTGAACGTTAACGAAGGCATGTTTGTTTATGCTCTGACCATTGCAGTCAGACATCGTCTTGATTGCAAGGGAATCATTTTACCTCCACCATACGAAATTTATCCATACTTCTTTGTCCGCGGAGACGTGATCCAGAAATCTTACTTGCTCAAAATGAAGAAAGGCCTTTTAGACGACAATCTCAGTGAACACTATGGGATTAAAAAAACAGATAAAAATATCTACATTATAGATGAAAATATGTATGATACACGAGTCTTTCTAAATAGTGAAGATAAACTTAGATACTTTACTGAAGATATAGACCTAAACACTTACTACTACTATTTCCATGTCGACTACCCATTCTGGATGAAGGATGATGTGATGAATAAGGTAAATAAAGTGAGACGGTTTGAACTCACTATATACATATACCAACAAATACTTGCAAGGTATAACCTTGAACGTCTCGCTAATGGATTGCCGACAGTAAAACCATTGGTGCTAGACGAACCTATAGAAAAGGGATATTGGCCGTGGTTAGTCTTACATAACGGAGTTCAAATGCCCATGAGGATGAATAACGTAGATTTCATTACAGAAGATACTATAGATAATTTGGTTCTAGTAGAGACCTATGAAACGATGATTAAAGAAGCTATCATTAAAGGATTTATTATAGTAAGTATCTTACATTAGTTGAATGTTTAAAAATTGAAGCACTACAAATGTAACTGTATTAATGTATATAATTTCTAATCAGATTGATGGTATTCGACTTGATTTAACTAAACCAGAAGACATCGAAAATCTTGGCAGACTAATTTATAGCAACATTCAAACACGTGGTGTAACAAATCTTAATATGGTGAAGTATCCAGCTTATGAGTATCTGCTTCTAATCATGAAATCTGTTCTTGGTTTAAACTCAAATGTTCCTGATGGGTAAGTGAGTCATATAACACCTGAACTACTACTAATACTTGATATATCTACTTCAATAGAATATAGTATATAGCGCCAATATTAAGAAGACATAGCCGATGCAATTAGAAGATTACACAGAAGTCACATTTTAACACCAGAAGATTTTTTATTTTTATATTTATATACAATTTCTTTTCTTTTTATTAATACATGTTGAATACATAATTGAAAATAATAGAAAAAAAAACCATTTCCTATACCAAATTTGGTTTCCTGAAAATGATTAATATAAACTTAAGTGGTTTTCAATACTAAATATTTCATTTTTGTTATACACATTTATACAAATTATACTAAACTAATTATCTGGAATGAAATACTTCTACTAAGTTGATTCCTTTACGTTACGTTACGTGGTGCGCTTACACAAATTTAATCAATGCGTCTCAACTTAGAACGTCCATGTCTAATAGAACAAAAATGGGGTAATGATAACAGAGTACTAATTCAAGTTACAAATTTAAATTCTTTGGACATTTCGTATCATATAGATAAAATTATAAACTAGATATATAAATGGAAATAGAATTATTGCCTTATCTTTTTACAAAATTTATTTAACAAACAATTTTACAGTTAATAATAGAACTACATCACTTCATTCAAATATCACAGTTAATTAAAATGAAATTTTATTTCAGATTATTTGTGTCCACTACAGTCCTAGAACATTATGAGACTGCTCTTCGAGATCCTGTATTTTACCAACTGCAAAAACGTCTCCTTGATATTGTCATTTTGTTCAAACTACGTCTTCCCAGTTACACTAAAGAAGAGCTTGGATTTCCTGGAGTAAGAGTAGAGAATGTAGTAGTTGATAAACTTGTAACGTACTTTGATGACTATTTAATGGATGTTACAAATGTGGTCAAACTGACTGAAGAAGAACTTAAGAAGAGCACTTCCGATGTAAAACTCATGGTACGCAAACAACGTCTCAACCACCAGCCCTTCAAAATCAATATCGATGTTATTTCTGATAAAACGGTTGATAGTGTTATTAGAATATTTTTGGGACCAAAACTTGATAGTTTTGGACGACCGATAGATATTAACAAGAATCGATTGAACTTTGTCGAAATTGATAGCTTTCTCTATAAATTAACTACTGGAAAGAATACGATTGTCAGGAACTCAGTAGATATGCACAATTTAGTTAGCGACCGTATAATGACACATGATATCTGGAAAAAGATTGAAAGTATGACTAATTACGAGGATCTAATTGTTAAGGATTTGAGAAATTTTCAGACTGGATTCCCAACGAGACTAGTTCTACCGAGAGGCCGTATTGGCGGCATGGATGTTATATTGTATATAATTGTCAGTCCATTGAAAATTATAGATAATATTAATATAAACGTACTTGATGTAAATCGTAAAAATTTAGTTGTCGACTTTAGATCAACTGTCCTATTAGACAAAATGCCACTTGGTTTCCCATTCGACCGACCCATCGAGCCAGTCAAATTCTTAGCATCTAATATGAAATTTATGGATGTGACGATCTTCCACAAAAAACAGGTGTCTGATATGAAAATGCGATGGGAACGATGGGTGCTGAGGGATTATATGATGGAGATGACACCAGCCTACCTAGATACAAAAATTCTTAATCAGGGAGTAAATTTAGTTGATTTGTTACAATAACATAATGCATTTTATTAAAACTATAAGTAGAAACTTGATATATACATAGCATATAAAATGTAAATAATAAACTGGCAATTATTTGATAGTGACTTTTGATTTCTCTTGACTTGAAAACTATATACCTCTAATAAAATAAATAAATCTATACAAAATTTATGCTAAAGTGTCTGTCTATCTGTTTGTTACTTTTTAAGACTAAATGGATAAACAGATATTTATTCAACAGGGCTATCATTATCTTAATAAATAATCTTGAAAGGGTGAAATATTGTGAAGTTTATTCAGACTTAAACAAGCAGTGTAGAACTACATTATACTATTTAAATAACTTTTAAAATGTAGTATAGAGGGCTTTAGATACAGGTTTCAGAAAAGGAATCGTTTTCCCTGTTCCTTTTAGCAGTTAGTGAAAGAAGTCTATGTTCAGCTGCGAATTATAAATGGAAATTATAATGATCAAATTTAAATTTATCTGAATAACTCTATGACTATACTACTACCATTGACGATAATACTTCTGACTACTCCATCCGAGATTATAGTCATGATAGTAGATATATTATTACTGTTTATGACACTGAATATTTTTTAGAGTATATATAGTATTGCTAAAAATCTGATCTCTTTCCTATAAAAATGATCAGCGTCTCTGACATCACAAAATACATTACAATGTGCAAGCAAGAGAAATAAATGAGACAAATATATGCAGAATAATTTGGCGAGACTCTCTGGTGACAGCACCTTAAAAGAATTAATTTTAGTAGTGTAATAATTATAAGTACATAATCATTATTTATTACACTATCCTTGCCTGCGTGATAAAGTGCTAATCGTATATATTGGATCAGAATATTAAGACTCTGTATACTAAATAAACTAAAAGAAAAGAATACACAAACAAGTCACAAACAGAAATATGTGCGAATGGAATTTACATATATATATATATATATATTTACTGCCAGAGAAGCTGCATGATAATAACAGTCTCATACATATTTTGTCTAGGAATAAATAAAATAAGTCTGTCTGAGTTTTTTAAAATATCGTCATGAACAATACGAATTTATTAAACTTAATTCTCGTAGCGTAACTGTTCTACGGGCTTCTACGATGGTTCTGTATACAAAACATCTGCTTTATACAAACTCTAGTAGTTTTACTATTCGTCGTTAGATGGCGTAACTACGGTAGCTCGATATTATTTAATTAAATAATACAGGACTGAACTAAAGGTACGTACTGTCACCAATGGAAGATGGTGGGATGATTATGAAGTCTGATAAGTTGCTTCATTATGGCGGAACCGTGAGGAGGTCGACCTGACAAAGTACATTGTTAGCAGCATATCGTATTAGTAGATCAATTATACAAGACCTTCCTTGATTAAATGTGTATGTTGTAAAAAAATATATTTTAACTATATTTTTTTTTCGTATTTTGGAGAATAACATTATAGCATCAGGTCAAAGATACAATTTTATATTTTTTTTATATATAATGTTTATTTATGTATGATTTTATATTATGTTAGCAGTTGGCACAATGGGGGCTCCATGAATAGCAATCACTTACCCCAGCTCAATATACGAGTAGATTGTATATTATCAGTCTTTTTAAATCTACAAGGAATGTGACCTAAATGTTTGTACCTTTTCTTACCAATTTTCTCGATTTAGTGTATTTTTTATAATATTCTGTTATTGGAGGTACAGAATTTTATAAAATTGTATCTTTGACCTGATGCTATAATGTTATTCTGTAAAATACGAAAAAAAAATATAGTTAAAATATATTTTTTTACAACATACACATTTAATCAAGGAAGGTCTTGTATAATTGATCTACTAATACGACCTCGAGGTGCCAACGAACGAGAACGCCTTCCAATAGTCGTGGGTTCGATTCTTCTCATGGTACAAACATTTGTACATATATGAGTTTGATCGTTTCTGTCAGTCTTTGTATTTCTAATGTATATAAGTATTTATATGATTGTCTAGTACCCATGACATAATCTTTGCTTAGATTAGAACTAGATGGCATTGTAAATGTCCAAGGTGAATAGTCCAAGGGTATATGGCAGCTAATTAATTACTGGATCGGAGGTATCATACCTTAGTTTTTAGGAATGCCAACACATAAGGTACCGCTTATTCTTTGAACACCGGCACGGGCTCGCGAAGTGATGTACATAATGGTGGCATGTAGATGACAATTGCCATTTACCATTAGGTCGGCCATTTGCTGGTATACCATTCCAGTTCAATAAAAAAAATCGTATTCATACAATTTGGAGTTAATATATGTTTTTAATTAATGAATTTTTTCACTGATTTTGTTGCTCTACTGTGTGAATGATAGGTACTAAATATGTTTGCAGTTCTCAAGTGACTGCGATGGTTATTTTTGGTAACTGAAGGGAATCCCTCAATCATAATCCTACGGCTTCCTTCTCTGTAGGTACCACATTAATATGGATAAATATTTTTTTAATAATATTAAATACCTAATTGGGTTTAAAATAACAATATAATTAGATAGCTGCGCATTGCACTAAGTAACAATTAGTAGAAGGTTACAATGATTTGACACAAAAAAATTTGCAACAATTACAACTCTACTGACCTCAACGCTGATAACAATTGTTATCAGTGAACTTTTAAATTATGTTTGCAATAACAACTTTCTTAGTGACAATTATTTTCGTAAACAAACTGATAATTAACATCACCTCATTTTCTTTAATTGGCATACATTGACCACTTTTATTACATACCTATATGTTTTATGTCATGTGTTGTGACCACTGCGACTATATAATAATAATATAATAATAAGATAATATAATATTGAAAATAATAATCTATAGTAATTATAAATTATTATACATTATTTGGATTATTTCTTCTTCAGAGAAAGAAACATTTACTATGATAATTCGGCAATAAAAAGCTATTTGTTTAAAGTTAAATCAATAAAACAACTATATATTTATTTATTTGGAACATTTATTTAATTAATTTCAATACTCAACTTGAGTATTGAATTTACGTACCTTAATCCAAATTTTACAAACTGCGATTATTACATTGAACTCTTATGTCACCGTTACTGAGAAAGATTTTTTTTAGAAAATCGTCTGTCATCTATTTCAATCCCCACAGCTGCTTGCTTTATATATATATAAACTGTTTCATTAGATAAGATATGGCAGTGAAATCACAGGATACAGGTGCATGGTATCTTTCGGAACGCATGAGGAGCATGAATATCATATGCACACTTTACCATTGGCATATTTTCCATTTGGGAGTACCCAAATAAATATTTTGTCGCTATGAGCACGTCTTAAGTTTGACCAATTATTGGCTTACAACATTTATAATAGGTATGTTATAATAATAAGTATAATGTAATAACTACGAAATCATGACGTTCGTGTTCTCGACGAGATCATTGGAGATTATTTTTAAACAAATTGACATATGAAACAAGCTAATACTTCATCTCATAGTATGTAATTTATAACCTTCTGTCTGTTCTGATCATGTCGGTGTGCAAATCCCATTGACGTGATCAGCAAAAATATAAAAAAATATCCTATGATTTTTGTGGGTGCCCGTACATTTTGTATAGGAGCAGGACGAGCTGTGCCTACGAACGTCATTCGAATGCTACCTCTTTGGAAATGCGCAAATCGACGGCGTCGTCGGTACGGTTCGTAGGTACTATGTAATATTATGTTATCTGTGGTTCGTACAAACTAAACCTGATGATGTGAGCACAGGTTAAACTATTTAATGTGTTGCACTATATTTCAATACCCATCACTGCCAAAGATGATTCTATCATCTTTTAAATGATGATTATCCTTTTATCTCATCATATCTAAATATTGTAATTAATATAACTCGACCACTATCGCTGGCCGCTACCTACCAAATCTCTCACATTGTTAGGTTGGCTGGAAGATATATCTTTCAGCGATAAATCCACCCTTGCTCTCATTTTTTTATAACTATCTTTATTCTTTAATGTTACAAGTGCAATAAAGTATATATACCTGATGTTATAAACTTTATTTATTTATTTATTCTTTATTGCACCATAATAACAAAAAAACATATATACACAGAAAAACAATATTTAGAATATGGGTACAAAAGGCGGTCTTATCGCTTATGCGAACTCTTCAACCGACAGACAACCTTTGGGTAGAGGAGAAAAGACAGAAGGTGGTGGATGGCGCATGATGGAGTAGAAGACTTTACTGATACTATAAGTGACATCACCAACATAGAAAGTAAACTGATACATGTATAGGTACCTATGAGCCTACGCGTACACCATTGCGAATTAATAATACCGTAATAAAATCATTAAAGTGGTTTCGTAGCAAGTCGTAGTCTTTAACACAAAGTAGCAGTAGCTACCTTTATTACAACTTTGTCTTTGTTAGGTAGTAATGGCTAACTTAATTTCCAAGCCGTCTTGTAGGTTAATATTTTTATAAGTATAACATTGTAAACAACTCTATATATTGTAAATACGTCTAGAAAGCAGATATCTATAGATAAATTTGAATTATACAGAATCATAATAAGTAGGTAACCGTATTTAAAACTTCACTAGACATTAAAACAAATATAGATTCGATAAACACAGTTTTTTTTTACCAACAACAATACGCATACTTACTCATATTACTAATAGGTACCTATAATATATAGAAAGATACATTTAGTGCATATCCATAATCAAATTTTAGTGTTAATTAAAAAATAAGTCTTATCTTCCACTGTATACTTGCTAGTTTGTTATTCTTCATAATATTTTTCATTTCATATCTCTCATGATAATTCGTATTATTGTTAAAAAAGCGAAAGTACCTAATTCAGTACGATAGCATTTTCTATGTAAAGTCAACTTTATATAAATGCAATCAGTTATTTCAGACGCCGAGTACTTGCTTTGTAAGTTAATTAGAAGTATTTTGAAATTGCAGGATACAGAGGCGTAACATTATCTTCCGGAATGGCTATGCATGAATCACATAATAACTTGATCTAGGTAGTTCATGAGCGTACAACTTACCATCAAGTGGGCCATTAGATAATTTACCATTGTAATTCTATGAAAATAAATAGGTATTATTACATTATTGCAAAAGGAATATAGATCACTAAAAAATATATTTCACCAATATAAAAATTTCATTGCTATTTGCTCGAGGGAATGACCATCAACTCTTTTGTAGTTATTCTTGTCTAAAGAAAGTATAGCTATTAAATAATTAGAAACAAAATATTGCAATAGTTTGCAAGATATTTCAATTATTAGACAATTCGTTTTCTTGTTGTATGTACGCGTAAGTTGAACGAATTTTATATTTTTTAATTTGAAGATATAGTGTATCTCGAGAAAGAACATATTTTATCTAAAAGAACAGACAAAATTGCTAGCAACTTATCACGTTACTAGCTCTTTACAGCAGCTTTGCTTGCACTAATTTATTTACTCCCGTTCTTGTAGGGATTTTAGAAATTATATCTTCTCAACTGCCTACATTATATCATCTTATCAACTGCCTACAATATAAAAAGAATGTATAATATGTAAATTCGCTTTACATTTTTAAGCCTGTTTATCAGTCTCGACAAACCCGTATATAAGGGTTTGTCAAGACTGATAAACTGAAAGATTGAAAGACTGAAAGATGAAGAAATGAACATATCAAAGATTTTAACGTTGTTTAGTAACCGAACAGACCTATTTAACCTTTAGATAAAAGGCTAATTTAATATATTAGAAAACATAAAAACATGCTACGTATACTAATATATAAAGACTGTAAGTAACCGATGTCTGTATACAAAATATAACACGTATGAAATATGCTAATTTTAATGAGAAGACATAATATACTGGATTAAGATGATACACATTAAATCTATTGAGCTGATATTTTAGGATACTTTTATAAGAACGTAATATATTTTTAGAATCTTAATAATTACCCCGTTTTGCTCAATATATAGCTAGGCACATATATGTTAAGCAAAACAATTATTATTAACTACCTACAGTTTTCTATATTTATTGGTACTAAGACCTTTTAAATGCGAATCAATTTCAGCAAATGTATTTTGTTATGATTGTTACGATACCTTACATGTTACTCGATATTCACAGAGACCTTTGTAGTTGTTACTACCCCGATTATTATATTACTATTACTTAAAAGTCCTAAGTTCGAATTTGAATAACACCAAAAACCTGTGTTTATTTATATTTCTGATTTTCGTATTATTGTAAATAAATGATAATTAGGATTACCGAATGAAGTCGCGGAGAGAACCTAGTCAGTAATAAAAATTTGAGATAAGAAAATAATCGATTGCCATTACAATACAAATAAACAGGCGACTGGTTATTTGTTGTTTAATAATATCAACAAAACAACTGCCACCTTTAGACCTTTCAAACTAAGTGGTCGGTTACTAACCTCAGCTTCAGATTATTTGTCTAATTTCAAGGTCATAAAATTATAAAACATTATTTTTTATTTACACAATTTAAATACACATAAAACTTTATATTTTAAATTATCATATGAATCTACTAAAACTTTAATGATATTAAACGGCCGAAACTCGTGAAGATGTATGGATGTTTAAATGTTTCTACATATAAACAACTAAATTTCTTGGTATAAAATTTAGCGCACAGAACTTGTACCGAGTTTATACGAAGGATTTTTTATATTTCCACGAGTTTCCAAAATGTGTATATCACCAATGCTTTGGTAATATACCACATATAAAAGTGGATAAAACAAATGCAGGAATATTATACAAATGCAAACTTATTATAATTAGGTTAATTTTAAATATCCGTCAACATAATTGACGTTTCTTAATTCTTAATTCGGATTTTTGATTCTAAATTTAACATATATTTTTCTTGGAGTAGTTATTTGCTATCTTGAATACTTTTAGTTACGTACTTCTAGGAACCAATTTTTCGTCCTATTTATTGTAATGTAATATAAACATAAATAATGAAAATTTAGGAAGAATCTTGCTAGAAAACATTAATGGAACAATATACACATAAAGCCACATAACTATTATCCAGTATAAGGCTGTCCAATTGTCAACGTCATGGTGCACGCAACACTAAACATGGTCACTCCTTAACAATTACGGTGTATATAGAAAATATTTTTGTCTTACTTATTTACATATGTTGTACCTAACAAGACTATGATTATGAAATTATCAATTGGCATAGCAAGAAGTCTATTGACCTGAAAACCTTTATATTACATTAATGTCATAATACACCAAGAACGTTCAACTGCATTTATCGTAACATTTTAAACAAATAGTGTCTTTGAACTTTGAATATGTAATCCATATATAATGGTATTTTTCAATTAATTCTTCAGTAATATTGTCAAAATGAAAGAGATAACTTTAGCCGTAATAGTTATTTCTATAGTTGGAACCTCGGGGTTCTTAATAAAGATTCCAAGTATGACTATGCAACCTGAACATGGTAAATATCTCGTTTGTTATTTCTACATAACTGTTGCTGAAACATTTTTTGTATCGCTCGCATTAACAATTTATTAATAATACTTATTTTGTATATTTTTTTTTTATTTTACATACTTCGTCTTCGTGATTCATATTTAGTAGAAATATATCTCGATCATTATTTAAATTATTAACCGAACACGAATATTTTTTTATTTACTACTTTATATTACTAGGTCACTAGCCGTGGTCACGAGCTTCTCACGTGATTCATAGAGAGGTTTATTTGCCATAAAATTAGTGTTAAATATATCTCGAAAGTTTAAAATTAATATCTCGATCAATTCTAAATACAAAAATAAATACTTGTTTGAGCGAATAAATTTCAAAAAATCCTTCTATTTGTTCAGATATATCAGGATACATCCATATGCAGAAGATGATGTTACCGTTATTTGAAAACATCTGTGAAGAAAGTAGTGATCCTGTTATTACGAAGTTAGCTCAAGAATTTTCACTGGAGAATATTGAAGACTACACAGTACAATAACTTATTATTTACATAAATATTATAAAAGTGAGTATTAGGAAATTAAGAACTAAATAACGCATCATCTTTTCTACTTATTTCAGAATCCAAATGTTATTACTGACTTACAAAATCTCCAGTCAGAAAAAGGACTTTTATCGAAAAATCAAATATTTACGGAATTCAATTCTGAATATCGAAATGAACTAAAAATAATTTACTCGGTCATGCTACATGCAAAAAATTTTGATACATTCTTCAAAGTCGCAGCATGGGCTCGTCAAAATACGAATTGTGGATTATTTATTGATGCTATTTATTTAGCAATTTTAACAAGGCACGATTTATCAAGACTTTCTCTACCGGCTCCTTATGAATTGTTGCCAAATTATTTCATTCGCAAAGATATTATTATCAAAGCATCATCTTTACTGACTGATACAAATATTACTCTAAATGAATATGTAAAGGATGAAGGAAATGCTTATATTTTGGATGCAAACTATACCGCTGATATCAATGATGAAGACGATGATTCCAAATTAGCATATTTCCGTGAAGACATTGCATTAAATTCTTTTTACTTCTTTAGAAAGCTTATAAATACTTTTTGGTCTTCTACTAATTCAAATGTGAATAACAGATATGGAGAATATATATATGAATCGATAAAGCAATTAGTTGCTAGATATGATTTAGAAAGATATTCTAATGGATTACCTGAATTAGAAAGTCTGAATTGGGATTCAACAGTTAATAGCTACGACCCTATGTTAATTTATTCAACTGGAGTCAATTTTGCACACAGAACTGCTACTTACGAATTACCATCAGTAAGTGATGGTATAGAATTTCTACAAAATATTGATGCAAACATCGCAGATGTGGTAACACATTTGGTAGGTAACAAATATATTTCTTATTTAAGTAGATACATAAGTAAATATTATTTAGGTACTTATGAGCCGCAAGTCATTTTCACAACTGTGTTCGAAGCCTACAGGAAACTTATATATTTTGTAATAATGAGTTTAGTTACTCTATAAATATGAAATAAGCTATATTGCCTATTAATGATTGCCATCGGTTTCCAATTTTAGAAACTAAGATATTTTTTCTAATAGTACAATATATAACTATAAGTAACTAAATAAAATAACAATAGAGTATAATATTTAAGTTTAAATCCATTGAGTCAAAATTAAGCAAAATATTATTGCAGTTTACCTTGCACGAAATAATCTACGTTAACAACTCTGACTAATCTATTTCAACCGTCAAGAAGCTTGTATTGTAATCTGAGTTACATTACAGGTTACGGAGGTCTGATATTATTTTCTCTACAACAACGCATGAGGAGTACAACGAGCGTTACATGGTGACCTGATGTCCGTAGTATTACTAGTGTATTCCTACTCACCATCGGATGGGCCGAGAGATATTAGTCACACAAAAAACTTACATATTTTTTTATATTTACAGAAACAAACTGGTTATAATAAAACTCAAATAATAAACCACCTGGTGGAAATATTTATTACTGGAGATAAAAGCTACGAAACTTTAGCACGAAAATGTTTAGGATATGATAGACCAAATGAAATAAGGTAATAATTTTTTAAGTAGTAGATTAGATAGATTTATCAGAATAATATGTGGAATCAGGAGAATACCACATTCCCACAGAATTTCGTCGCTGAACGATAACATTCAGTTCGTTCAGTTTTATCGCGTTTCACTTATTGTTTGACATGGGCTATGTTTCTTTTTCTTATTCTTTATTCGTATCTCATTCCCCTACCTACAACTTTATCATTACATAGTATAAAACAAAGTCGCTGTCACTGTCTGTCCGTCCCTATGTATGCATACATTTTTAAAACTACGAAACGGACTTTGAACGGGTTTATTTAATAGATAGAGTGATACAAGAGGAAGGTTTATATATATGTATAATACATGAACACCCGTACAAATCCGGGGAGAGTAGCAAGTAATTACTAAAAGGTACACTTCTAACCCGATGTTGCAGGGCTCATGGGCGGCAGCAATTACTAGGTATAAGGTGTTCTGCAATTTCTATAAAAATAGAACTTGTAATAATTGCTAAATAAAAATTAGTTTAATAAAAGTTTTGCAACTTGTAATAATTGCTTAAATAAATAATTTTAATTTTTGGGAAGTGGGAATTAATAAAAACTACTTGCCCTAACGACTAACGGCTCTATAACCTCCACCAAAATAAAATAAATATTTACACTTATTGTTTTGTTTAATTTTTTTTTCAGACAATATTCTGTATTAGATCACATCTTGACATCACTACGCGACCCCGTTTTCTGGAAATTGAATAAAAAGATAGTAGAGTTAATTGACAATTCAATAAAAGCATTCCCAGGTTATTCAAGAAATGAAATGTATTTCCCTGGGGTGGAAATTCTAAACATTGAAACAAAAAAAATGATTACTCAATTTGATGACTTTCAATTCGATGTTACTAATTCTTTAAAATCCAAAGTCACTAATAAGTCTTTCCAAGTAAAAATAAGTCAACCAAGACTAAATCACAAACCATTTGTCATTAAAGTTAACATTTCATCATTTGTGGCTCAGAAAGGATTGCTAAAAATATATTTAGGACCGAAAATGCTACCGGGTGAATATGCTTCAAATAAAAATAGCTTTGTATTACTTGATTCTCATGAAATATCTCTCAAAAAAGGTATTAATTTGATATCAAGATCTTCGAATGAAATGAAAAGATATTCTAGTGATTTTACTCCACTTCGTTTCCTAATAAAGAGAATAGAAGATGCAGAATTTGGATTGGAAACCTTACCGCTGAAAGCAATAGATACACAAATTGGTTATCCTGACCGATTAATTTTACCAAAAGGTTCTGCTAATGGACTTCCACTACAAATATTTGTATTCATCGCGCCACTTTCAAAAATCATGTCTAGGAATTCGTTTTCTACTATAAACAATAAGTTTAACACCGCTATACTATCTCCTGGATATCCATTTGATTTATCAGTTGATGATTATCAATTATTTAGTCTACCAAATGCAATGACTAAAGAAATTCTTATTGCTCATAAAGACAACAAACAAAACTATAATGGTGGTGATAATAATAGGAAATGGGAAGCCAAAAAGAATAATAATTATTATAATAAGGACTACTCAGAACATAGAGAAGATGAAGAAATAATGAATAATAATAATCCTGATAACACCGAGTCTAGTACTCATGGAATGCTGAATTTACGACCTGAATTTACTAAAAGGAAACAACCTGCTGACTATAGTTCAAAAAGAGGTCAATATGGACAAAAAAATATAAAATCGTATAACATTAACAACTCTGAAAATAAAAATCAAATCGAAGAAAATAATGTAAAAACTAACAAAAATACATTTGGTAAGAATCCTAATTACGAACAGAAAGATATTTTTGATTATAGATCTAAAAAAAATATGTATGACAACAAAACTCACTTGCCAAAAAAATATAATGATTATAAAAATAATGACAGCGTGAATAAATTTATATCTGAAGTAAATAATACCGATTTTCCCACAGAAATATTGAATGATGTTATGGAAAATGGAACACAAATTACGGATATTATTTCTAGAGATACAGACAAATCTACAGATGAAGTTTTTAATGAAATTAATTACAAAAACGATGTTGTAGACACTTCCTCAAATATTCTTGAGGAACCACAAAGTAGCAGGTGGAATTTATTTGATTACATACTTCACTCTTTTGATGTCACAAACCCCGAAAAAATGTATGAGCTAAGTTAACTACACAGTATCAATTAATTTTATTAATAAGCTGTTATAATTAATATTATATCAAATATACGTATAAAAATACTCAATCTTTTAATTAAAACCAACTTTTTTTTCACAGTACTTTATTCTTCAATTTTATTAATGTTAAGTTCACATTTCACTGTTATGTTCTGTGTTAGTTTTTGTTGCATGATATGTTTTAATAGTATATTATATTGCCTTTAATATTAATAGTATATTATATTTAACTTTCAGTATTACTCATATAATATTTAAAATATGTTGTAAACAATTATTAGAGTTGTACAATAATACACTTATACATAGGAACAATTGAAGTAAGTTATGGCAAAAGTAGCTTGCAACTTGCGACATCATCTGCGTAACAAAAATAACTTGTAGATTAGCCATTTAAGTAATCTCTTTTTTTACAAATAAATTGCGAATTAGTAAAATAAAAACTAAAAATATTATTATTAATCTTTCAAGCAGTTTCTATCATTATTTTTGGATAAGTTCCAAATATTTACAACGGTGTTACGCTTTCCCTATTTTCATCGCGGAAAATTTAAAAACCATCGGTCACTAGTGTGACAACGGCTAGAATATGAATAGAAATATTTTTACAGTTGATTACAAGGTTTCCACAAAGTAGGTGTCTTCGGACATAATATCCATATTTATCATAATAATAGCGAAACTGTTAAATTTCAAATGAGATTCCTACTTACCTAAACATACGAGTATATTCTATTCATAAAGTCAAACAGATACGTATCATACGCATAACGTGGGCTGTATATATATATTAATAAAACTTTATGACAAGTCTTAAAAACTTGCAACGTTTTAATTAGTATAATTAAAACTGACAATCATATAAATTTTCATCATATTTACAAAATTTGTGAGTAATTGTGTTCACAATGTAAAAATATTATTCTATAATAGAATAATATTTATACGTAGTGAACATAATTACCCACAAATTTTAGTATCTTGTTATATAAGCTATAAAAAAGTGGTATCAAAAAAGCAGCTGATTATTTCAATTTTAAGTAATTGTCCCCACAAACATAAATAATAAATAATATTACAACATGAAAATATTAAATTTACACCTGCCTTCGTTAAAATAAATTAAACACACGACCTCAAAACTTTTACAATTGACGTACACTGTAAATTTTGCAATGAAACCCTATATACTGTGCCAAAATGAAGATGTATTTACACTCAATTGAGACCGATATTGTGAGCTATCCAAACTTGCTTTTGGCTGTGATAGCCAATTATTTCGATCGAGGTATTTCACTCGCTAAATTATGGAACGTCAGTAATGCATTGAGGGATAAATTTCATCAAAGCAACTGCACTTGGTACTACGAAGTATTTTATGCAATTAAAACACACTACAAGCTGTATTTCAGACAAATTGCAGCATGATTCATTGCTAAATTTGTGTTGTGCTTTTAAACCGTTTGCATTAAACAAACATCAAACGACAACTTTTAGCTGACACATAATAATTGTAAAATACGCTGCTTGAGGAGCGGTTTATATTATTCTAAATTATTTAAAGGGTACAATATTATTAAGTTTCTGGCTAGTTTTCTCTATAGAAACAACATTCCTAATCCAGCAATATTATTTCTGTGTATTCTGTCATATTACTAATAAAACTATAATTCACTGAAGCGCCTCCTAAGCCCTTAACTCCCTCCAAATAATCCAGAATAAGTTTACCACTACACTTTCCGGCTGTCCAGGACATTATAGTGAGCACTAAATGATGGAAACGTCGCATCAATATATTATCAAGTATATAGGAAAGTTGATAATCTCTTTCATATCTTAGGGGAATCGAAAAACCAGACAACACCATCATTATAGTAAATCATATTTTACACAGACTCTTAGTTCTATGCGGTGGAGAACCACACTAATCCACCTCTTTCCCTCCCCGTATCCCACCCCTACTGATTCTGTATAACCACTAACTGCATAACTTAGTGCATCATCATCAAAATTCGGTAATAATTTTTTTGAGTTGGTATAATGAACCTATGAGAAGGTGACACTGAATTAATAACACATTTCTAATCCTGAAATTATGATCCATGCAACAAAATTGCTTGTGACTCACGTGTGATTAACAAGATGGAATGAACTAATGCATGATACAAAGGCGACCTCGGAGGTCTACCGATTTAGCACACCGCCTTACTTCCGATATTCGCTGGTTCGATTCCTCGCTCGATGCAACTGTTTGTTATCATGTGTATGCTTGTTTTATTACATAGGGTAATTTACATATGTATATATAAAACCTATAAATATTAGGTACATATTTAAAAAAAAAAGTATTTATATCAGTTGTATAAGGAATGAATCAAGGTTTAAATACAGCCCCAAATTTTATAATCATTATTTTATAATTTGGCTTATTATTTGCCTTATTTTAGTAAAGATTATCATATTATTGATACATGGCGGATTTAATGCCTTATGGCATTCTCTACCAGTCAACATTGAACAGAGATTATAAGTAAATCTATATATTTACTTAAATAAACAAAATATATATGTGATTACATTATGGAATTACTTTCTAGCAATATTTTCAAACCGATATAAAATTCAAATCTTCAAGAAAAGTGCTTCTTAAAAGGCCGCCAACACCCTTGCGAAAAATACCCCTCGTTCATGGGCGGCGGCAATCACTTACCATCAGGTGAGCTGCAAGCTCGTTTGTCATCTATGCTATAAAAGATTATATATACAAATTAAACAGAAAATTAGACAATAATCAACATTCATAATCATCATACATAGAATAATAAACATGTACATATAGCAATGCATGAATGAGATCGACCTTTACATGCTTCCTTAAACCTTCCGAAAACCTTAGCTATTCTTGGTGTAGTAGTTTTTTCCATTATAGAAGACGAATTACCCTTCAACGTGTAATTTTTCATTGACTCGTATATTGGCGACCTTAGCACCTAAAAGTAGCATAGATAGTGTGTTGGTGACGCGTCATCCGCTACCCGCAACATTTATATTCATGCATCTCATGCATGACTTATGGCTACGATATAACTGTAATGGTATGTAATCTGTTTATTAAGTATGAATATATAATATATAATAAAAAAAAATATTTAGTCAAGAGTTATTTAATATTAAAAATACTAGACCCACTCTGTTAGTGCATAAATAGTGCTATATCAGCACTATTAAGACAATTTGAGAATTATTATTATTTTATAATTAATTAAATACTTTTTCAATATTTTTCTACAAAAACATTAGGAAAAATGTATATTATATATATAATAGAACACACAGGACATAAGGTAAACCCTAAGAATAAATGACATAAGGCTATAAGTTTCAGACTTTTATCCTTTTATTTATTAACCATAAATTAAGATATTATATATATATAAATTTAGATATTAACATATATAAAGAATTTAGTGGAATTAAGAAAATCTTTCTTTCGGATGAGGGTTGAAAAGTCATGTATTATATATACGAGAAACTACCTTCGAATTGTGAACATATTCCCAATACACAACCAGACTCACCTCAGTTACAGGTTTACAAAGTTTAGATAAAAATAAATTCATTGCCAGCATAACACTGACATGATTATTAAATTGTGACCTAATTTCGACTTGAATGTTCTGAACTAAGCACACGTGGCGGTCGTCGTCGGAGCAAAGCTCGGCAGACGTTTCACTCATTGTGGCATTCGTTTTAGAACACAAAAATTATAGTCGATCACCGACATTCTATATCTGCGCGGGCGCCGCCGTATAACCCGTTTCACGCGCCAGTGGTCGTCAAGCAATTGTAATTTTTTTCTGGATATGTAATGGAGTTTATTTTTAGCATTAAAAGGCACAAAAAAGAGATATATTCCTATTATCCATACAAACTTAATTTTAAAAACAAAATAATATAAAAACTCTTGGCAAATCATTGACTTTATGACTAATATTCGTAATTATATCATTTTGACGGCTTCGGTGATCTAGTTCCAGTTTAGCATACCGCCTTACTTCTGATGGTCGCGGGTTCGATTCCTATGCAAATATTTGCATTCATGACTATGACTGTTTGTATTGTGTTTTATGTATGTTATGTATGTATTTAAAATATCTAAGTATTTGTGTCAACTATGCTTAGCTTGAGACCAGATGACGCTATGTGAATTGTCCCGTGATAGTACTACTATTAGTTATTGATTAGTAAAAAAACGTAACGTATAAAGTAATGTGTATTAGAATAGCTACGATTTTTGTTTACATATAAAAATATATGGGTCGACGTTATCGGAGTCTCAATAAACAAAATAATGCGCTAAGAGATTATTTTCATTAAAGTAAATATTTTTGATACTAATTTATCTAACAATTAGTGAAATTATTTACGGTCCATTTACAAACGTTGCCTTGAACCCAAGTCATGGAACCATAAATAGAATTGCTGTACCAACACTCGAATATATTCATCAACTTTCTCAATTCCATCATCTCACTCAAGTACGACAGTTATATTCAGTAAATAATAAAATATTATGGCTAGCATTATTATACTATATTCAGGACATAGAGAGTATCGAGTAATGTTCTTTATCGTTCTTATTATTACAAGTAATATATTAAACAAAAGATAAATATTTTCTCTTTATATTTTTTTAATAATATTTATGCATTGTTACCAAAATTACATAATGTACTTAGTTTCTAGTTTTATAGGTTGGTATAATATTGATAGACTCACTAATACGGTAAATAAAATATTATATATGTATAGTTAAATTTGTTAATATATTCTTTTTTATTTGATGACCCTAGGCGAAATTATTACTTATTGACATTAACTCTGACTACCCAATCCGAAATAATAATATTAGTTATATTATTATTTCGAATTGGGTAGTAGTAGTAATTGTAATTGTAAGTAATTGTCAATAACTAATTGCAAAAACATTGTGAGTATAAACATGTACACTGTATGTAATTTTTATTATAAATGAAAAATATTTTCTTTATTATTATATTTAATAGAAAAATATTATATTTAATACAACATTAAAAATGTTGTAAACACCAGAAAGTGACGCTTCACGCGTAATATTTTCATTTGGATTGTTATGAATCGGCCGGTTCAAAGGAATTTCCTGCTCTTAATCAAGGAGCAGCATACGAATGCGTTTCTGGAATGCTTTAAACTGGGCGGTTGGTGATGTTCAGCTTCATATATAACTATTACGATCGTGAATTCGTCGAGTTATTTCGTGTATTTATAATGTCTACACTATCTGTATTTACTTTAACTCAGGATTGTTTAAAGCAAGAGCATATGCCTTCCTATATAGCCGGCAATATATCTGCGTTCTTACAATGTTACAGGTGCTTATAAGCGGCCTAACATCAGGAGAGAGTATCTTTTATTGATATAAGAATAAAAGAAAATATTTATTTCATTCTGGGCATCATAACTGTTCAATAGTCATCAAATTACGGACTCCAAAAGTCGATAGTAAAAATAATGAGTTTAAATTTTTAACTAACTCTTTAGCTTACCTACATAAGTAAACGACATGCATTAAGTAAAATATTATTTATGAAGTTATTATTTGTATAGTTATGCACACACATAAAAAATAAGTTACTTAACTAATACATATAATATACCAGCTACCCGCCCCGGCTTCGCATGGGTGTATATGTATTGTACATATAAACCTTCTTCTTAAATCACTCTATCTACTGGTAAAACTACATAAAAATCGGTTCCGTAGTCTAAATTGATCTAAGCGAATATTTCGAATAAAGGAAGGAAGCGTCTCTATAAAGGTAAATAAAAATATTGTGTTTAAAATTATCTGGTAAATTTTACTGAAAGAAAATATTTTAAAAGGATGCAGAAAAAGGAAAAAATTAAGTTGAAATATCTCAATATATTTGAAAATATGAAAATAATTATTACTTTTAAGGATACTGTAAGAAATATTTATGAACAAGAAAACTGGGCTAAATATATATATATATATATATATATATATATACATATATATATATATTTAGAGCTTTGTAAGAGAGCACTGGCTCTAAAATAAAACAAAATTCATGTAATAAATTTAAAAAAATATAAGAGACAACCCTTGTACATAAGATACATTGTATATATAAATATATAATTATAATAAACTCTATAAAGATCTTACATATCCAAACATGTAGTCGGACGACTAATACTATTGTAGCTATTTAAACAAAACAGCAATAAAAATAGGATACAAAAAATATCCATTTGTTTTTGTATCAAGTTTTAAGAGACATGTACTCGTAAATGAAACAGATACTTTTTCTCTTTACGATACACTGAAAACATATCCATCATCACATCGTTAATTCACTCGATGACAGGCTGAATGGTGGCAGGAAATCTTAAACGAGTGACAGAGAAAGAATTAGTTTTTACTTATTTTTGTATAGCCGTGTTTCGGATGATGGGAATGTTCTATAAATAAGGGTGGAAAACGAACGCAAAATTCAGTGTAACAACACTCGCACTCGGATTCGGTTCTTGTTACAATTGCCAACCCTACACAAACACCATGGTGAGGATATAAGTTTTGTTGTGATTTGGATACATTACAGTGTTGCTTAAATGTGCATTTTATATCATTTATTATAAATAAAAAAATCATTGATTACAAGTGTAACTTCAAGAGAAAATCTTTTATTATTGTCTGATTATTCGCACAATAAATAGTAAAATTATTGATCAACGTAATTATTTGATGACATCGCTAAATAAAATTAAAAATATTATGTGACACTTGGGACTTACCATAGAATTACTAGATGAGTAAGGATACTCTGTATACTATTTTTGTTGATATCCATTTGTCCATAGGACTCAGATGACGAACAGAAGATGGCGATGCTCCGCAAAGCCTTCCAAATGTTCGACACTACGAAGAGTGGATACATCGATGTCCTGAAGATCTCCACCATTTTGAATACCATGGGCCAATTGTTTGATGATTCTGAACTGCAAGCTCTTATTGGTGAAAATGACCCTGAAGGTAAGAATAATTTTTCTATAAACTTTATATATTATATTTTGTCTTCACTTATAAAAGTAATCTATAACACGTAAAGATCTTGAGACACACTACTGTTACTTTGTCTATAAAAAGTCCCATTGCCTTATATTACAACTTAATGTGAATCGATACAAAATTTACTTTATTATAGTCATGCCATGCCCCCTGTAGGAAATAAGGTAATATTATCGAGTAAATACATGTATATAAAATATCACTGACAACTCACAAATCTCTGCGAATAATTATAATTATTTAATACCTAATGCTTAAGCATGGAGGCTTATTGTGGCGCCATTTAACAAAGAAACTGGGTTTTAGTGTAACAAGAATCCAAGTTAGTGAAGTAATAATATGTACCGTTTCAGTAGTAATATACTCGTTACATCTTTATTGGATTACATAAATAACTATAGTAGCTTAATTATGTCAATAAATTAAAAAAAATCCATACAAACCGAAAATAGTGCCGAATATTTTTATCACCGTCACATAGACCAATTTCGTATATACTGTAAACAGCTACAGAGTGAACATTAATCATCGCTTATAACTAGAGAACTATCTTTGGAATCTACACTACAAACCGAGTATATCGCTGACGTTTAAATACATTGCAAGGTCGAAACGTGTTACAGTAAACAGACCACGCAATGATCAGTCGACGTAGACAAACGTAAACGATTTTCTATCTATAACCAATCGTCACTGAAATAATATAGTACAATATGCAACGTTTACGTCTCTCACAAAACAGTGTTGAAGAAATTCTGGAATATTTTTACATCATTCCACAACTAATAAAGTTATTTATATTACGGATTGCTTCTACACATAATTATTGTTCATCCAAAAGAAATCTGTCTCCGTTGCCTTGATTTAGTTATTTACGCAAGGAACGTTGAAAGAAATAGACAATCTTATCCATGAGGAATGTCAAGGTTTATAGCTGATGGTTACTTTACTGAATAAATTGTTCCAAACATCCTATGAATCCGTACACATAACGTAGTTAGTGTATCTAATACACATATTTTAATTTATTTATTCCAGTAAACATTTTATTCATAATTGTTTTACAGGTAGTGGGAAAATTAACTTTGATGGCTTCTGTAATATTGCCTCCCACTTCTTAGAAGAAGAAGATGCCGAAGCCATGCAACAGGAACTGAAAGAAGCTTTCAGGTTTGTTTACTTCATATAAACCTTTCATACCTTTGATGGTCGCGGGTTCTATTCCACATTTATATCCATGAGTATGATAGTATATGTATTATTTCTACATACAAATATCTATGTATATTATTTATGCAGTTACAAAAAATGTAAGTAAATATATCTATCAATCGTGTAGTACTCATAACATAAGATTTTCTTAGCTTGGGACTAGATGACGCTGTGTAAATTGTCCTGGATTATTATTATTTTAAATATAAATATTTATTTAAGGCATTACGACATTTTATTCATTTGTATGTAAGGAATTAATGTCAAGTATTGGTCTACAGTAGGGACTAGTTAAAACACTCCCTAAACACTGTCCCTTATTCAATAATTTCATAAAACTGCCATTTTCTATTAAATTATTCTTTTCGTGTTATTGTTTTCTATATTTTTCAACGTTATTTATTCAGATTGTACGACCGTGAAGGCAACGGCTACATCACCACCTCTACTCTGAAAGAGATCCTGGCTGCCCTTGATGACAAGTTGAGCAACTCAGACTTAGATGGCATCATCGCTGAGATCGACACTGACGGCTCCGGAACCGTTGATTTTGATGGTACATATTATAAATATATGTTTATAATTCCCGTATTTAATTAAGTCAGTATGTTTGCATCTATATTAAGTAGTGACTTTATTTACCGTTGGTAGTATATTAAGGCATATACTATATAGAAAGTGAAAGCATTTTTAAAAATATAATTAGAATTCTTAACAAAACCAAGCATATTAAATTTTCCTTGACAAGAAAATGAAAAGTTCCACGTTCTGTATACAGCCAAACAATGTAACCTACGCTGAGCTGCTATACCTACAGTATTTTTTTAAGTGTTTTATTAGATATCTTATTGTTGGTTCTTTAATTGATTCTTAAACGTTTATAATAAGTGCCACGCTCTCATCGATATATTTCTTGCCGCTTCTTTCCGTCATTCACTTTACATGTTAATACGACACTGAACTAAGTTTTATTAACTGTTCATAACACTAAAATAGTCTTACACATAATACAAAACAAAAAATAGATAAGAAAATAAAAGTTTAATATTCATCGAATTACCTTCTAATGTACTGATTATGCCACACTTTTTCAGTAAGGTAAACAAAGTCACTCGTTTTATGTTACACCTACTACATCAATTCGTGGTGCCAAATTAAGTTAACCGAATTGTGATATTCGACTATGACGCATTCTACTAAATGTGGAAACATAAATATTTTTTCATGAATGTAGGTAGATAGGTATTCACATACAATATGATTTTTGAAGATAAAAGCAATAAACAAGTTCCGAGGTATGTCAACGAGACGTAACTATTATAAAGAACAGTCGTCTTTGGCATCGTACCAACTGTTTTTTCCACAAAGTTATTCAAAATCATTATCAATAATAACAGGATCAGTGTGAAAGAAAAACATTCTTCGTAATGTTATTTTTCTGTAAAATAATAATACGTGTTTAGTATTAATAAATGGTTGACGGAATTTTGTACTCTATATACATATATAACAAAAGTTGAGATACTATTCAAAGTTACTTAATTTATGGCATATATTGCAGAATCATTACCATCCTTGTCCCCATTTAGTTTACTTCTTTATATTAATTGATCTTATAGCAAATAATGATCTTGAACCACTTATATTCATTGAGTCCTTGCTTCGCACCTCATTCAAGGTCGTCTATACCGCGTAGTAATCAGAAACCTTTTATTTCTCAGAGATTCATCTATTAGTAACGAAGATTTAATCAAAATTTTTGGACTTCTTGGTTAATTCTAACGCTATCATTCTTCTCAGTCTTTGATCTTTAAGCATAACCCTTTTAATATTCGTATCTATATATTATACTATTATACTATTATAAAATATATTATACTATTAATATTCGTATCTATATGTAATTGTAATAAAATATTGTATTTTGGTTTTGTAAACCATTATCAATAAAAAGCACTTTAAAAGTCCATCATCTTCATATTTACTATTAAACGTATATTTTAAGTACTGATCTACCGAGTAGTACTCAGTCTGATTTATTGCATATATTTACATACTATACGATAACTATAAGCATAGTACTAGTACCAGAACTAAGTTTGACATGAACATTAAATATTATTTTATTATATTGTAAAAAAATTATTAGTTTTTTAAGGACCGTAAAAAATTTTCGATAAATTAATCAATGCTAATACCTGTATGGTTTCACTTTAATTATTTCTGTACTTTATTTGTCAACTTCGCAATCATCATGATGCATAAACAGGCAATTGCTGATAAAGGAATTTAACACCACTAATATCTAAATTGAATCAAATGACTTACTACTTATGATTCCATTTCAAATTTGTGGTTACATCGTACATCTATGTACTAGAAATTATTCACATTTGTTTTAATTAATCTTCAGTTATATATGTGACATATACATTATTTTAAATATTGTTCATTAATCGTCAATAATGTGTCTATATAATATAGTTTATATTTATGTTTAAAATAAATATGTTTATTCTTTTACAGAATTCATGGAGATGATGACTGGAGACTAAGCTGTTCATTACTATAGTACCATAGTATTATTAATATTAGTTATTAATATTGTATAAAATGTTTACAAGACTTCGGCACTAGTACAAACCATTAATGCGGTATTAGCATGGTTGTTAAAATTATAATTCTTAATATTTGATCTATCTTATAGATAGGTGATAAAGGATATAATGTATATTAACTTTATAAGATAAATCTTTGAGTTCGTTCCAAAGAATTATTTCCGGAATAATTCACACGTAACGAATTTCTTTATATTTTTTTATAAAAATAACAATTATATGCTAATATTTATAACGCATTGCACTAATATATTTGGAAATTAATACTATACAAAAAATAAATATAATATCCACACTACAAAAACACCTTTTATTTGTATACGTCTCATTTATTAATGAAGAAAATACTTATTTGTAAAAAGGACTGGAATATTACATATATTCCAGTCCTTTTTACAAATCCGTCAATAAATTTCGTTAAAAAATCTTCTAACAGACCTAACTTGCAATTAGTCCAACTTGTTTGTTGTTGTTGCAAGTTTAGTACGTCTCTAGTTTTATAATACTTTTATTTATTTCACGTTTCAAAGATTTAAAAAAGTCTTAATTTTACAGCTGCCTTTATATTTGTAAATCGGCTTAGTGTATATAATTATAGTAGCCGCAGTAGTTACATTATAACCTCTCGCCCGTGATACCTCTCTTGCCATACCATTTGTGAGGACTAAGTTGTCAGCCTCAGTTCTCATCCTGTAATTTAACTGCTATGCTACGTCATACTCTAACTACAACTATTTTTTTTATTCTAAATATACGATACTATGTCTTTATACTGAATATGTCTCTTGTAGTTGTATAGTTAATATTGTATCTCATTACAAAAGACGTCTTCCAAGACTCGCAATTGGAAAATTGGCCAATTGCATTTTGTTTCCTGAGCACAATGTACAAAAATGGAGAACAGTTTCAATTCGCTCAATTCACGAAATTGTATCTGCCATAAGATAATAGATAATTACTGTAATAATAATATTAGACTCCATACCCAGTAGACTATTACTGTGGTCTACTGGGTATGGAGTTTTATTTTATGTCTTCTTAAATTATCTCTTACACTGATATGTTTTCATGTGCTCCACACATCAGTTACTACGATATCCTGAAAATGTAAAACGGTAATGTCATACATTACCTGTCATGAATTTTACTACATTTTATACTCCATAATGATCAAAGCAATTCATTTTGTAGTATGTTATAAGCTATTAAAAATGTTTAATGTTTAATCCTAGATTACCATATTTTAAAGGTTATTTAAAATTACTTAGCGAATTGTAAAAAAATTCAATGAAGGTACTTTTGTAAACGAATGTACAAAATTATTTCTACTTAACTGACTCCGGTAGCTCAATTGGCTCAGGAGAAACAGAAAGAGGTCCGTTTTATATACGTGTAGGAGTGGTATAATATTTTCTGACGTTAGTTGATTTCTGTCAAATTATATGTTAGAAAAATGTGGATTTTATTTTTGTTTGTGAGCGTCGTGTCATCTGTTCCAGCAGATGAATATCGAAGTTTAGTTAATGAAGGAGGTACTATCTGAACAGTATTTTCATGAATTAAATTAAATTCTGTAAAATTTAAAATTTTGTTATATTGTTTTTCTTTTCTAGCAATCTAATATTTCAAATTCGTATATAATATTTTATCGTTCTAAATGTCTAAGTACTAATATAAGTACCATATCTTATTTTTTACATAGATCTGTATCTAAACTATTAAAATACTTTAAGTGCATTGTTTTATTAACGACAGTATGTATTCCATTTTATATAATAATAACTGTATTTTTAGTACTTTCAGTATTATTCGTAGCCAAATCAATACAATTTTGCAGCGAAAATATTTCATCGATAGTACGACGAAAAAATAATTTATTTTATTTAAGAATAGTCTTCTTACAGTGTATAATTATCATTTCATGTTTGTTTGTATTAAAACTGCACTTTTTAATACAATACGTAATATTATCTCTAAACATTTTTTAACACCATCTATTAACATTTTATTTACAGAAATTACTTACAATGATGACTTATATCTTAAACATATAATTCCATCGGGTTACTCGCCCCAAAAAATAAAAGAACACTCCACAATTGAGATAACTGATTTCATTGATAAGGTAAACATAAAATAAAAATATAAACTAATAACTATTTCAAAATAAAGTTAACTAATATAGCATTTCATAACAATTGCCTTTCAGGATAATATAAACTATCAATTGCTTATGGAATATATAAATAAAGGTTTTACAATGAAAGGCATAACATTCAATATATACGATGATAACACAAGAAAAGCAACAATTGCTCTTTTCGAAATGCTACAAGATGTTAAAAAACATGATATTCCTTTTGTGATGGATTGGGTACAAAGCAACATTAATGAACACATGTATGAATATGTGTTACGTCTTTTTACACTGTACGGAAATCATGTGGTTGAAAAATTACTACCGCCATTTATTTATAAACCTCATTACTTTGTAAATAGTGAGACAATTGCAAAAGCCTATAGAATAAAAGCCAATAAAGGACAAATTGATAGTCAAGAAGCGACAATTTATCAAATTTATAAAAATAAAGATGATATTGTATACATCAATACTAATTATTCTGGTTGGAATTTACAACAAGATACATGTGATTTGCAAGTTAATTATTTCAGAGAAGATATAGCATTGAACAGTTATTACTATGGGGTACATTTGGCACATCCATTCTGGATGCCTAATGATTATTTGGATTCAATTAATCCAAGACATGCAGAACATTACCACTATAAACATCAACAATTATTAGCCCGCTATCTTCTTGAAAAGGAACATTTGACAAATATGAATATTACACTATATCCTCAATGCGGAGGTGATTACTACCCATTCTTATCGTATGAAAATGGTCTTAATTTTCCCACTCGATCTTCTGTTCACAAAATATCAAACGAATATAAAGTTGCACTGAAATCTATAGACATCGCTTTGAAGGAATTCATTTCAAGACGTTTGGTGATAATGGTAAGTTTAAATATGTCTTCATAACATTTATATAGATTTCGAAACACCTTATATATATATATATCTATTTTTATAGGATAATGGTACACTAATAAAAATGACAGAAGAGAATTATATATCGCTATTATCAAAATTGATTCGAGCAAATCTGGATGGACTTAAAGCTGCAAAAATGATAAGAAACATTTACGGATACAGCTATAGTTATCCCATGAATCTGTAAGTTACATAATTATAAGTACCTATATAAAGTTTTTAAAAGAATGTCAGTAGAAATAATAATATTATTTTAGGTATAACCCGGCACCTTCAGTACTGCATCATCCCGAAACTTCATTACGAGATCCAGTTTATTGGAATATGATGGAACGTGCTTTAAATTATACTAAAGATTTTACAAACACCATAGAGCCATTTGACATTTCCGATTATGAAATGGACAGTTTGTCTATAACTCAAAATGATTTCTCAAGGATTGCTACTTACTTCGATTATTACCAATTCAATATTAATAAAGCCTTAAGTACCGGAGATAGTTATACACAATCATCGCCCATTATAGCAGCAAGACAAATGAGATTAAACTATACACCTTTTAAATTAAATTTTACCGTGTCATCTGAAATACAACAAACCGTTGTAGTTAGGTTATTCTTGGGTCCACATTGTCATTATAGTATTTGCTTTAACAATTACTACAAATTTTTTGAGCTTGATTCCTATATTGTTAAAATAGATGAAGGCACAAATATTATTAGCTGGTCTCCACTAACATCTTTAAAATTTTCATTTGACGAGTATTATAATATGGAAACAAAGAAAACAAAGGAAAACAAATTTAATCTGTTTAAATTTCCAGGAAGTCTTATTATACCTAAAGGATTGGAGGAAGGTCTTAATGTTACTTTGTTTATTATTATAACACCAGCAGATCAATCGTCAAGTAGTTTTGAAAATAATAAATATAATAATCAAGCTTGTCCTAAAGTAGACGGAAAACCTCTTGGATTTCCATTCCACAGAATTGCTACAAAATATAATCACAATGCAAATAATTACAGATTTTATAATGTTTCTATATATCATAAAAAACGTACCGTCAATGCAAGTGGATATTTTTCGTCACATTTATATTAATTAACCAATGAATAGCGTGATAATTAATTAATTTTATATATAATAAATATATATATTAATATTCCAAATATAATAAATCCTACACAGGTTATGTCATAATACTAAATTAATAAAATAATGTCACATTGTGCAATAAGTCGCAAGGATGGGTACCTCTATCTGAGGACACTCATAACTTTAACATTTTGAAATAATTATATTATTTTAGCTACTCTAATTAGTATTACAAAACTATTAATTAAAAAACAAACTAGAACATGCTTGGTTAGTACCAAGCATGTTCTAGTTTGTTAAACTGTTCCAACACTATATTTATTATCTCCATAAAATTTCGAAAAGGAAACAGTATTTTTATTGGTCTAACAAGATTCACAAATACACGTTATACAAAATTTATACTATATATTATAGTCTAAAATACATATATATTTACCGCACTGCTAAAGTATTTTTATACTCATATAACATGTTTGTGATGGCATTTATTTAATAAATAGCCTTTTAACGTACCTTAAAAATAAATTATAAATTTGAAAATAGAACGTCAAGCATAGGACATCGTAATTGTTTTGTTATTTTTTATAAAATATACATTATTTTCAATAATTAAATATATTAAATGTACAAAACGATTCTACATTTTTATGTATTTACTTATTATAATTGGGAACATTGAAATATTCGAACGTTACGTTTCCTGGAATAGGAATAATTTTATAGTTTATTAATATTCGAATTTCGTATGAGCATATAATCCTAGTATTTGTTTCTCTATGTCTACCCCAAAAAGAACCTGTCGTAGATATAGATATAAAAGTCATAGCCAAAGTTGAATTTGTGTCTTAGTTTTTAATTGTAAACAACATCGATGTTAGTATATAGTCAAGTGAGACTCTGGAAATAGTTACTTTACTTACTTTTTCTCGTCAAACATTTTACCCGACCTCAAAAAAAGAAGGATTCTTAACTCAGCGAAATTTTACATGTGTGTTACCTTCGAACTATTCTACGTGAACCAATTTAGATGATTCATTTTTTTATTTGATAACTGGCATTTGTTGTACGTGCACCATACAAATTTGATCAATGTCATCAATTATGATCAATTATGCTCAATAGTAGATAAACAGGTTCAAAAATAGTTCTAAACAGATTCTAAAGAGCAGTGGTGAACCGCTACATGTGTGAAGCGCCTACAATATTTTTAACGGAGTAGTAGTGATTAGTTTTTTCAGTTTTTTCAGATTATTTTTCGTCTAGGTTTTACTAAGTAATCGGAAATACTTCATAAATATGGCTACACATACCTATGTAGTCAACATTATCGATGAGTCAGACATTTCCCTACCAACTGATGCGAGATGCATTGCTACTTTATAATCAGTCAGTAGGTAGGTAGGTCTGGGTTCGAATAAAGAAACAAGAAGAAAACGAGTGATTTAGTTTATTTGACATAAACAAAACATTGCTAATATTTTATTCACTGACACTGTTTGTAAATACTTTCTCTCTCCTTTTAGTGCTTAGGAACTTGGTTTTGGCTCCAGTAAGAAGTATAATAAGGGTATATTTCACCTTCTTGGTAAATGTAGACATCCTTAAAGTACATATTTGGCTGAGTGAAGTAGTAAGGCATGGTCACAGGGCGATCGAACGGATAACCGAAAGGTTTGTTATCTACCACAAATTCTTTCATTGCTTCCCACTCTTTCACCGGAGCTTGATATGGGTAAACATATACGAATAACTGTAATGGGAAACCACCAGCAGTACCTCTAGGCAACATAAGCCTCCTCGGCGCGTACAAAAATTTGTTAGCCATGTAGTATGGCACTTTACCATTTTGTAAAAGCTGATAAATCTGAGATACTGATACAGAGTCATCCTTGAATAGGAAGAATTCCTCGGATTTACGCACAATCTGGTTTTGTCCTGAAGTGAGCTTATGTGTAAACCAGTCTAATTCCAGGAAATTCATCCAGTTATCTTCCAAACTGATAGGTAGACCATTGCCGTCATATTTTGGACCAATGAATACCTTGAAGACTACTTCAGCTTCAACATCTGACTTGATATCAATCGTTAGAGAGAATGGCTTGTTGTTCAATCGAGGTTGGCGGACAATGAAAGAGGGAGACGAGCTCTCGAGTTGTTGCTCAGACAAGTAAACGGCATTGGTTACGTTCCAGTCAAAGTAATCGAAGTAAGTAATTAGTTTGTCAACCTTCACGTCATTAATCTTCACGCCAACGTAATGAAGAACATCCTGAGAGTAGGGTTCTAAGTACTCTTTGTACTGAATAATGTAGTCCAGGATTCTGGCGTAGAGTTGGTAGAAAGCTGGATCTCGCAACGAAGTTTGGTAAAAGTCCAAAGCGGTGGGTACGTTCAAATATCTGTAATAAAAGAAAATATTAGATTATCAGTAATTAATACTCTGTATAGCATACAGGTCATTTTAAGTCTTTTGATCGGGAATTCAGTTTCAATTATTGAGTATATAATATAAATTACAGTATAATAAAATATTAGGTAAAAACTCTGTATTATATACAAGAGCATATACTCATGATACCTTTTCATCATCAGTGTACAATGGATGACAGAAAGATAATGATGACTTACTAATGTAGAAGTATCCATAAGAATCTAATTGTAAATTAAATATTTTGCTATATTTTTAATGTACTTACTCGTCAGAAATTCTAGGAGCACCTCCAAGAATACGACGGGCAGCTACTTCATATGATCGCCAATAATGCCTGTGTGGCACATTATCGTAAAGATCATAATTGGCTTGCCAATAATTACCAACGAAGTTTATTGATTTAGAGTTGTACAAGTCGACTTCTTGCTTGTACTGAAAAGTAATATAACGTTATTTCAATTGTGTTATTTGTAACGATTAGGAAAGAAAAAAAGTTAAAAACGATACTTACAGCCTTAAACTGGCCCTTCTGTAGAAACTGGAGGAAGGTCTTCTCATAGGTATCAATAAATTGAATATCCTCCATATTATCACCAGTACCCATATAGTAATCACCATTTCTTTGAGCGAAAGGTAGTTGGTAAGGACCCAAATATGGATAGTATCCAGTTTCCAATTTACCGAACCAATTGAATCTTGGTATCTCACCCAATCCATTAGAAAGACGTTCAAGATAATAACGAGATAAAATTTGTTGATACACGTAAAAGTATATTTCGCCTCTACGTTCCTTGAATGGTCCAATAGCATTTTCTCCTTTTTCCCAGAAAGGTACTTTATTATGGAAGTAATAGTAGTATGAATTCCAACCAATATCTTCGGTGAAGTATGATATTAGGTTTTCGTTATCTTCATAAGTTAATGGACCAGAATAATTAGCGTAGAAATAGTAAGCATTATCCTTAGCTAATACACCATAATACTGAGATGACTCTGGTAAAATCAAGCCTTTCTGCATCTGTACACGATAAATCTTGTAGAGTATATCTAAGTTCACGAAATATTCTGGCCATATCTCATACGGAGCTGGTAAAACTATGCCTCTAGTATCATGGCGTTGAATGACTGCCATATAAAACGCATATACAAATTGACCCTCGTTCAACCAAACACGTGCAAAAGCTGCAGTTTTGTAGAAGGTTTCAAAATCTTTAGCATAATAGAAGAGTCTGTACAAAGCTATGACTTCCGCAGCCTGATTCTCATATAATATAGAGAATACTTCATTTTTGGGCATGAAACCCGCCTTATACAATGATAAAAATTCGGTTACGACTTCTCGTTGCTGAAATAAAAATTATAATAATTATCCACCATTATTTTAACATAGACCAAATCGAATTATAATAAACTAATTTTATATTAACATTTTATCGCTTAGAAGTTTACTATTTTTACTAATACAACGTTAAGTTTTTACTAACCGTATAAGATTCGATGTTGGCTTCAATATTATACTCCTTACCAATTTTGTAGTATACATCTTCAGGGTCAACCTGTTTCCAATTCTCCAAAAGCAATAAAACTTTTCTTTGGATATCTACGAGACTGGGGTCGACTGCAAAGAAAATATTTAAAGAATTATTTATAAGACGAAGATTGAAAGTTGCGCCAGTTACGGACAGTTTCGGTCATATCGCAAATTGTCACAATCTGTTACCACGCAGATTGAGCGGATATGGGAATGTTATGCGGAAGAAAGAGGATAATGTTTTAAGGAAAGTGTATAATGTGAACGTGGATGGATGGAAAGGGAGACGATGCCCTAACCAAGATGGATGGATTGTATGAAAGATGATAAAAATAAAAGGAGAGTATGCTCAGATATGACAGCCGATAGAGATCAGTGGAAGAGAATGACATAGTGTGCCGACCCCAAATAATGGGATAAAGGCAAGGCAATATTTGATTATGGAATAAAATATATGTATATGTATTAAGGAATAATATGTATTATTTTTATTTTAAATGTCAAACAGCAAGGGAGTGCGTTTTTGAAATTTGTATCTTCTTAATTTTTTTAAAGCAAATTATTTGAAAATAAGTCTATGTTAAAAAGGACACCTATTTCTACAGTCAAGCAACTAACGTAATGAGTTAAGTCATTCGGATATGACAATGAAATTACTGGATACAAAAACAAGATACCAACGGAATCCCAACGTATAATGGCGTGACTTAATGTCTGTTGTCCATGCTATGATTTATGTAGGTTTCCACGTTCCATCATATGGGTTTTCAGCCTGTTTGCCATTAGTTATATAAAAAATATATAATAGTAAAAAAGATATAATTTTTCTTACGAGTTGCTGTTTTCACTTCGTGATGGTATTGCGGGTAAACAGCGGCGGCCAGGCCGATAAGCGCCGCTAATATTAGGACAGTCTTCATTGTCACCAACGCCAGAAGCCAACTGTGCCATGACAACTAATTCCCAACTGTTATATACTACCCCTTATCATTTGTCAAGTAACCGATTGTTATAAAAAATAGTGATGTATAACAGAGTTATCACTAGAGGTCCATTTCCAAAACATATTATGATCCGATAATTATAATAGCATGACTTTCTAGATAATTGTATGTTATTCTATTATTCATTTTTATGCTATTTATTGAAACGGGAATTTTGGTTATACCTATTGTTGATAAATAGAAATTGTTGTATAGATTATTTTAACAATGTAAAATGAAAATATGTACATAAAAGACTTGACTGACTTATTATGTTATGAAAACCATTTTATGATTAGTCTCTAGTGCAGAATGTCCTGAAATGGCATATGTGCCATAATAAATTATTTAGTAGTTGAGTTAAGACATTATGAATGCGAATTCGTCCGCCTATCACATTTAACTTGAAGATAGATTGTAAAACAAGGACGGACATAGGCCACTTTCTATTAGATAATAATCGGAAAGGGAGTGTAATGAAATATGAATAAATAAATATGATAAAATAGAATCCTAGAAATATAATTTATGAGAATGTTTGGATGTACATTGTTCAATGACGGCAAAACAAAATTTGTTACATAGATAAAATATATTACTATCTAGATTAATACAGAAAACATTTTTGTCCGTATTGTCTTGGCCGGCGTATTGATGATCGCCATGTGTGTAGTCAAATTGTAAGTATTGTAATTTTTTATTTTTCATTCATGATGAAGGACTCCTACAAAGCAATTCTTTCACAATAATGTTACCACCTTATATTATCTATTACAATATATATACTATAATTCGGCTGTTTTAGGGTACGAATATCATTAACACTACGGTCTTTGAAGAATATATTGCTTTACACTTCGTTACATAAATAACAAAATAATATAATAATAGCCCTTGCTGCAGGAGTTGGCCTTCAGTCACTCCATAAGTCCCCCCGCGAACCTTCATTACCATGCTCTCGACTTGCTTCATATCGTTTCGTGATTCTGTAAAGATCGGCTGCGGGTAAAAGTATGGGAAGGGTTCGAAAAAAAGTTAATAGTTAAGGTCTGTTATGATATATAAAATCCGTAACATTTAATAGCGGCACGAAGTTTTAATTTATTTCGTCACTTTAATTATTTATTTAAAAGTAACTATCTGGGCGAACACCTTACATTCTTACAATCAAATTATGTCACACGATAGCCATTTTAATATGTAATGTTATAATAATATTTAAAGAGACTTTCCGTGATTTTTTTTTATGTTTCAATAGTTATTTTACTATTCGGAGCAGAGGCAACTAAACTGGTTATAAGTGGTGTAACTAATCCAACTTTATTGAGGTTAAGGTGATTGGTAGTAATGTGGATTGATTATTTTATTGCTAGCAATGTACCATGTCAAGTTGACCTCCACGCGGTTCCCCCTGGAAACCATCGTAATAAATTCACCAAGAATTGACCAAGGGCTAACTGACCTGACCTCATGCGCCACTGGTGCCCCGCCAGCGTAAACCGTTAGCGCAGGCGGGTCCACCATTCCGTTTATCATCCTTAAAAAAACCCAACTTTATTTTATATACAGAGAAATATTTCGTAAATAAATCCTTTATGTAGTCTATACTGATCGATAAATGTATACTCCAGGTTGCGAGCAAGACCTGTATATTAATATGTACGTACCAAACCATTCTCCTCTTTTCTTCGCCAGTCGTGTAATAATTAATGAATTTTTATAATGTCTTCGTTCAATAACAAGTAAAATATTGCCCACTTTTTTAATCGCATAAGTATTGTTTCAGTTATAATCATCAAATGAAATGTAGGTACGAACATTTCATAAATAACGTGTCTATATCAATTAACTTTTTTTTAAGAAGAAAAGAGTGGAATGTAAGAAACTTATAGAGAAATAGACAAAAATTTTACGTCCGACACGTCCGCTTTACGTCCGACAGTCGCGGGTTCGATTCCTCGCACGGTACAAATATTTGTATTCATGAGCATGATTTTTTGTATCGGTCTGGGTATTTTCTATGTATATTATGTATGTATTTACAAAAAAAGATAGATACTTTTTTTGTACTTATATCATTGGTCTACTACCCACAACACAAACCCGCTAACTTGGGACTAGATGGCGCTGTTTGAATTGTCCAAGGATTAAAAAAAATGTAAAAATATATTATTTTACATTCGAGGACGTGAGTATAACATGTGCATTTTTTTATTGGAATTTAATAATTTTATGTAACTTTTAACATGACAGCCCACCTGATAATAAGTTGTATTTATTGCCTATATATAGGAACAGCACCACGTATAACTTCTGTGATACCACTCATATGTTGTTATTTCAAAGAACTAAGATGTTATGCCAATGGAGACATATCATGCAATTTCATTGCTTTATCTCACACTTCAACATAAACAGCAAGCTGCTTGGCAGCTGAGATAGGTGAGACAAAGATGCCCACGCCAACGACAACTATCTATGTTTGTTATATGGTAGGATGTAGCTATTAAAGCCATTTAATTTCTACGGCATATTAATTCCTAGATAACGAGTATTGATGAGGAAAAATTATAATTTATTCTATTCCAGTATTCCCTCGGTTTGAGCACTGTCTTATGCTCCGTTTTCTTGGCGAAGAAGGACTTTGATTCTAATAGCCATCCCCATTGCAACAAAATATATCTAAACTTCTTGTAACTAATTAGCTTTATTCTCATTCTACCATCCTCTACTAGTGCCCAACCAGTATAGAATGTTAACGCACGCATCCACGTATATATTATCCATTTATAGCAAAATTTAATATTTATCTACCAGACCGTATATCAGGCGTATTAGACATGTATGGATTTGTCAGTTATAGTTTATTTGGTTTGAATAACGGTTTTTGCAATAATTTTAATATGTAGATAGATAGATAATAGTTTTTATTTGTATCTTAGTACACACATACAGGCTTAATTATAACATCAAATGACAAGTACCTACAATATAACAATTCAATAAAGGGTAAACCTGCATGTGTGTGCTACAGCAATACAAAATTGGTACATAGCTCAGTGTGGAGAATCACTCAAAGAGCAAAACACTGATTTTCAGCTATGTCCTCGAGGTTGAATAATGTACCTTGTATATTTTTTTTAATAAACTAAAATGAACTGAACGAAATAATGTGAAATAAATAAGTAATAAAAGAACTTGGAAAGTACGAATTACAGTTAGAGTACCAGAACTTTATAAATACCGAGATACCACAATTTAATTTGATATATATGAATACTATGAACAGGAATATAATAAATGTGTAAAAGAAATAATAATTATAGCCATGAAGGAGTGAAAAATGTCTTAATGGAAAGGAAAACAATTAGAATATTACTGCGCTCTGTCACCAGAACAACTTAGTTTTTGTTGCTGTAATAGGTGTGTTTTTATATGTTTTTTAAATGTATATTGAGATGTAATATTTCTGATGGGTGGTGGAATATTGTTCCAACATTTAGTTGCCCGGTAACGAAAGCTGCCAGTAAAAGCTACAGTTTTGTGACGTTGAAGCGACAAAGGTGGACGAATAGACCTACATGGGTACCGCTTATCAAATGTAGAAAAGTTCAGCTTACAGTATAGATATTCCGGACTTTTAAATTCTATTAGACCGAACAACAAACATGCCATATATGTATACGTATAATTAGTGAAAATCACGGGATCTTACCACGTTTTATATTTATTTACTGAGTTCCCGATATTTCGGCAGTATTTCAGCCGCCATGATCACGGGTAAACTGATCTGTTTACCCGGTAGATTTTTCCCTAATTATATGTAGAAATAATGACCACGTCAAATTTAAAACAGTATATAATTTAATTATGCTTTTAATGCATTATGCTACTCATTACTGTTTTTAAATTTTAATTATCATAAATATATTATAGAAACAATATATATATACTTTAATTAGAATTCAGCTAGAGAAGCTACATAACTACATAAATTGTGTACATCTAAATAAATGTATATAAATTTCATATTTATAATTTTTAAAGGAAGTAAAGAAAAGGAAAGTCAATCTACAAAAGTACAGATATTATTTATTTATCATTTTATTACATAATAGATACCGTTTATTTACTCTTTCTCTCTCCTTTTAGTGTTTAGGGACCTGGTTTTGGCTCCAGTAAGAAGTATAATACGGGTACTCTTCACCTTCCATGTAAACGTTAACATCCTCGAAGTACATGTTAGGCTGATCGAAGTAATAGGATTGAGACACAGGACGATCGAAAGGATAACCGAAAGGCTTGTTGTCTACAACGTATTGTGCAAACGATTCCCATTCCTTAACTGGCGCTTGGTATGGGTACACAAATACGAAGAACTGGAGTGGGAAACCACCCTCAGATCCTCTAGGCAGTATCAGTCTCCTAGGCAAGTAAATGAATTTTTCAACCATATAAGACGGTACCTGACCATTCCTCAAAAGCTCGTAGATCTTAGACACAGATACTGAATCTTCCTTGTAGAAGAAGAAGTTTTCAGATTTGCGTGCAATCTTGTTCTGTCCCGAAGTGAGCTTATACGTAAACCAGTCGAGTTCTATGAAATTCATCCAGTTGTCTTCTAAACTAATAGGAAGTCCATTGCCGTCATATTTAGGACCAATGAAGATCTTAACGACTACTTCGGACTCAACGTCTGATTTGATATCAATGTTTACGGTGAATGGGTTGTGGTTCAAACGAGGTTGACGGACAATATAAGACGGAGACGAGGTGTCGAGTTGTTGTTCAGTCAGGTAAACCGCATTAGTAACGTTCCAGTCAAAATATTCGAAGAAAGTGACTAGTTTGTCAACTTTTACATCGTTAATTTTAACGCCACTGTAATGAAGTACATCCTGAGAGTACGGCTCCAAGTACTCTTTGTATTGAATAATGTAGTCTAAGATCTTTGCGAAGAGCTGGTAGAAGGCAGGATCGCGCATTGAAGTCTGGTAGAAGTCCAAAGCGGTCGGTAGGTTCAAGTTTCTGAAAACAAGTTAAAGTTCAATAATAGGCTCACTTGAGTTATTGGCTAAAGTCTAGTAGATCGTTTTAAAAATAAGAAATTTAGTGATAAAAATTATGTTCTAAATGTCATAAAATGCTATTGTTGAATATTCGCCTGCTTGAGAAAAATTAAAATTGATTTCTGTTTATTTGACAATAGACCACTGCAATTTTATTAATATGCTGTATACCTGTATGTCTCGTATAAGTATACAAAACCAATAGCATCATTGGAGCAACTTATAAAATCACTCACTGACCAGTACAGCAAGGTACCGAATAAATAATTATTTGAAAGGAAATACGTAGTAAATATGTAATGTACATCTACCCAATAAAAAACCTTGTGTGATAATAACAAATATTTAACTAAATCTTTTATAACAATCCAAATGAATCCGATAGATGATTATAAAACCGAAAAATATTAATAGCATTTTCTCGGTTTAGTAGGAGTTAGAATCAGTTTTCCAATCAGTTGAAATCCGTTGCGTAATTTTTAAAGATTTAAGCATACATAGGGACAGACAGCGACAGCGACTTTGTTTTGTACTATATAATTATAATAATAATGATGATAACCATGTCAAGTGTTACGTTCACCATAACGCCTATAGTTGTTAACATACCATAACATAACATATATAATTACTCTAATAATGTAGTAGAAGATATGTCATTTTTATATCTATCTGTAATAGTAGTACTTACTCATATGACACTTGAGGAGCACCACCGAGAATGCGACGAGCAACAGCCTCATATGATCGCCAGTAATTCCTGGGCGGTACATTTTCATACAGATCCATATTAGATTGCCAATAGTTACCGACGAAGTTAATCGATTTCGAGCTGTATAGATCAACATCTTGCTTGTACTGAAAAAGAAATGAAAATTAGAGTTTTTGCCTATTCAACTCTATATATAACAAAAAAAATAGAATATATACTTACAGCCTTGAACTGGCCCCTTTGTAGGAATTGTAAGAAAGACTTCTCATACATATCCAGAAACTGAATGTCTTCAATATTTTCACCGCTAGGCAAGTAATAGTCGTCGCTTCTCTGAGCAAATGGCACTTGGTATGTTCCTAATACCGGGTAATAACTAGTTTCGTATTTGTCAAACCAACTAAATCGCGGCACTTCTCCCAGTCCGTTGGCAAGACGTTCAAGATAGTATCGAGCCAGAATTTTTTGATAGGTGTAATAGTATATTTCACCTCGACGTTCCTTGAAGGGGCCAATAATATCTTTACCATGTCCCCAGAACGGCAATTTGTTGTGGAAATAGTAGTAATATGAATTCCAACCAATATCTTCAATGAAGTAAGATATTAAATTTTCATTGTCTTCATATGTCAAAGGACCAGAGTAGTTGGCATAAAAGTAGTAAGAATTGTCTTGAGATAATATGCCATAGTATTTGCCTTGATCTGGTATAATCAAGCCGTTCTGCATCTGGACACGGTAGATCTTGGACAAGATATCCCTGTTAATGAAATATTCTGGCCATATTTCATACGGAGCTGGTAAAACTATGCCTCTAGTATCATGACGTTGAATTACTGCCACGTAGAATGCATATACGAATAGGCCTTCATTCATCCAAACACGTGCAAATGCTGCGGTTTTGTAGAAGGTTTCCAAATCTTTAGCATAGTATAAAAGCCCATACAAAGCTTTGACTTCCAGAACTTGATCTTCAAAGAACACTGAGAATATTTCATTTTTAGATAGGAAACCGGCCTTATATAATGATAAAAATTCATTCACGACTTCCCGGTTCTGAAATGTTAATAATTATGTGAATTCTGTGTTCTGTATATTACCAAAAAATGCATAAAAAATAATTTCAAATACTTTTTGTAAATTCAAACTTATTCAAATAGTAACTAACTACAAGTATATATGAAATAGTAATTGTGTATACATATCTATAACTCAACTTCCAACTATCATACAGTGCAGTATCAGAAGAGTTTCTCCCGCGAACATACAGTTTGCGGAATTAATTGTATGCCAAGATTTTCATTACAACGAGACTACATCGTGGAGTTTTTCAGTAAGGTTTCTTAAGGGTGTGTAACGCACATGTAACACCCCGAGTATTTTAGGCTCCATAAGCTACGATAATCGATGACAAAGCCATATGATATATGCATAGTCCATATGTCCATATATCATTAGGAGCATTGTGCAATAAAAAATCTATTTGCACGAATTTCATCACTGTAGTGAAATTTGTAATAAAATTGCGATGAATGCTACATAGAGTTTTACCTACATTATATCTATTGAATTATTTTTTTTATCTATCTTTTGAATTTTGTGCTTACCGTGTAAGAATTGATGTTTGCTTCAATACTGTATTCTTTACCAATTTTATAATACTCATCGTCAGTATTAACTTGTTTCCAGTTCTCCAAAAGCAACAAAACTTTTCTTTGGATATCTACAAGATTGGAGTCAACTGCAAAAAATATTATGAAAGTAAAGAAAAAGTAATCCTTTAATTAAATAAATATGTATAGTATATATATGAATAAAGTAATTAATGTTTTTGTATAAAGTTGAAAAAATCTTTATTATAAATTTTTTAGACATTAGTCGTCAAAGTTTAATGTTATATTTATTCGTTCGATGGGTTCAGTATAAGTTTTCTGTATTTACAAAATACAAAATAAAAATTACAAACTACTGTATTTTATTCATATCCTATTTATCCTTAACCCTGTATATGTATATATTGAAGGGCTTCGAAATTAAAATATATAATTTTAAGTAATACTATTATTAGTAAAAATCGGCTGATACTTTTTAAGATATTAGATAGGGTTAAAATAAATAAATAAAAGAAAAATAATTTTGTTCCTACAGACAATATTTAGATTATTATTATTTCTATTTATTGCAATAATATTATTTGTTATAAAAAATTTGAGATAGACTACTTATAACCCGGGATTTCATCCCTGTAGAATTGAAAATTGTTTAATAAAATAAGAAAAAAATTAAAACAAAGAAGTACCCTAAGTTACTCTTTATAATGTTAGCTATCTGCGTGTGATAATTCCATCAATGTCGGTCCAGCCCTTACGGAGATTAGCAGATCAAGCAGACAGACAAAAAAAATAAAATAAATATTTTTATGTAACGTATATACTTTCATATGCGTTTAGTGAAAAGCTGTTTATTTTAAATAATAAATAGTCACTTCAATTTTATTTATTTTTGTAGATATTTTACTTACGTTTTGTAGTTTTCGGGTCAGGATTGTAGTGTGGGTATCCAGCGGCGGCCAGGCCGAATAATGCCGCTAGGATCAGGACAGTCTTCATTGTCACTAAAGCCAGAAGCCAACTGTGCCTCACAATTTAAATTTAGCCATTATATACCACCCCTTATCTTTTGTTCAGCGAGTGATTATAACTATTGGAGATGAATTCGTAAACAGCCATCTCTTGAAGTCCATTTTCAAAATATATGAGTTAATATATTTAATTGACTTTGTACTTGGGTAGAAACAGTATACTACACCAGAATAATCTATTATTAATCAACTAACTTAAAATATCTCAACATAAACTAATAATCTCCGCCTATTACTAGACGACTTTGTGTTTTCTGTGTCTTGCATGATTACAAGATTAATTCTATTATATAACAATATAGAATTGTTTTAATAACATCTTTATAAGAATATAGAAATAGAAATAATCTTTATTTTAATATACTTATAATAGTCATATTTTTTTTAATCTACCACTTATTCGTAACACAGACACATTACATGAAGAATGAGCACTAAACTTGGGTATTGCTCTTTTAAACAAATTTGTTCAAAATTTCATTTTTAAGAATATGGGTAATATACCTATACTTTCGTGATTATTATCCTTGATTACGTAGACATAGACGTAATAATTGCCTATTTCTCTGAGCATATTTAATGACGGTAAGCAATTTATTCCTGCCAAGAACACCACAACTGTGCTGGTGTACGATACTTCATATCATGATCGTCTTTACATGAAAATTAATTGTATAGAATATAAAATAGAACAGAATAGAGGAGAATGGAAATAATTTATGTAAATAAACTTAATTTAAGCACTTTTGAATAATCATAGCAATTTTATTTTAAACTACTTGAGAATGAGAACATCAAGAAACTTGTGTGTTGCTCTTTTAAATAATCCTTGTAAGTTCACATTTTACAAGTCGAAAAGTGTGAATAGTAACTACAAACCAGTACTAATTTGTTAGGGTCAAATATAAAAACACAATAAGATTAAATCAGTCGTAGTGATAAGAGCAGACCAGTCCCTACAAGCAGTACTCGTTCACGAGTATGACAGATGAGCCAGCCATCACTGCGCTCCTTATTTTATTTTTAAATAATTATAAATCCATATCTAAATAGTTAACCAGAGTAAAAGTATTTAAAATAATTATAATGTAACGCAGAAACCACTCTACTCAGTTATTTGCATTCATTTAGTTGGAAAAATCCTTCTTTATAGAATGTATAGTATTTTTATCTTAAAGACAAAACTTACTTCTTTATCTAACAAATTGCTAATTAGCATTATTTATTTCCTATAATATTTCTTATTGTTTTCAACCACCTTCATAAAGAAGGAGGTTATCAATTGGAATGTAGGTATCTACTTTTTTATAGTCAGTATCATTAAGTATATTTGCATCTTTTTAATATAATGTTATTTTATTCTAATTGACAAATTTATTTGCAATTAGATTTTTCATAATCATCACATTCAAACTGAAAGTAAAAAATCATGTATTCACGATAATCATACGATTTTTTCAGGTACATGTCATTGTTTTTTATCATTATCTCTCTCCAGTTTGGTTAGCTTCAGTTAAAAAGAACTGACAAGAAACTCAACTGGTACATTTTTTTATATCATAGTTTACATTTTAATTGATTACAATGTTTAAAAAATTAAATTTGTGAGAATTAAAAAAGTGCAAATTTCTATCATATTTAAAAACCCCTTCTCTGATAAACATAAGAAACATTATTTCTATATTCTCATTATCATTTTAATACCTTGGCATAACATATTATTAACTGTATGCTTAATAGATGGATATACAAATACATATATAGTATATAGTTACAATAATGAAGCCTATATGAAGAAGACATATAGGCTTCATTACAACGAAATATTTATCTTTTATAAAATTCAAGCTAATGTCATTTACACATAATTATAAACTACTATAAATAACAACAAATGAGAACTTGACATTATAATTTATTAGAATGAAAAAAGCAAGAAAGTAAAACATTTATTAATAACCATTGCATATACATATTCATATTCATGCACACACTCACGCACTCACTCATACAATACATACAACAACAATTACAATTCATCTTAACTTTCTGATTAGCAACATGGCCAATCAGCCCTCAGCACATACCTTGACAGCTAACTATCGTGTATTAGGCACTATTATATTATACTGATGGATATTTTTAAGCTAATTATACAGTTACTAATTCTCCTTTTGGTAAAACTGAAAAATTCAAAGCGCCTTCTTTATAACATTCATCACATTGTACATTTTAAGTAGATATATTGGACATCGACGTATGTTTAACGTTATAACTGATAACGTTAAACATACGTCGATTGCGCAAGCGTAGGTGTTTTAAGATGTCACTGGGTCTTTTGGAGTCAACTTTCCTAATATTATGTTTCTTAGTAACATATGGAGATATTTTTTATCCACTGTATTTTTGTAGTTTTATGTACATGAATGCAATTGTTTGAAATTTTAACATTTATAAGGCGAATATTTGAAATGCCTGCGCCTTCTACTCTGATAAAGAATAAAGAAACAGGCTATTATAATCAGTTCAGAATATAATGCCTCACCGACGTATGCCTATCGTTATTGCAGGCGCGTACACTTCTCCATGTTCATAAATCAAATAAAATGTTATTATAGATTTATTTTACTTTGTTCTAAACGTTTTACAAAGCGTACACAGGCATGTAATACATTATTACTATATACCATACTTTTCCAATATACAATAAAGCTCATGCTGATACACCATACCATATTCTGGGGAAAAGGTATTTTTAGTAATAGAGTAAGTACATTGTCCTATTGCTATGATTCTATTAGTTCGACCTTCACGCGGTTCCCCTTAGAAACCTTCATGATTAATTCCTAGTTAATTTGTTACGATGTGCTAATTGAACTTTATCCTCATTCTATCTTTCTCCAGTGATGCCACACCAGAATTTTACAGGGATGATAATATCTATATAAAAAAATTCATATTCATGCACAAAAAATACGAATAATGAAATAACTTTCAATCGACAAAGATGGATAAGACTATCTTAACAATATAATTATTGCCTTTTGAATTAGATAAGTTAATGTATACAAATACTTTTATACCTATAAATATAATGGGGACCGGGGTCACTGATAAATTATAGCTACAGCTGGATAAGAATGTTGAACTATCATCTGATAGATCATCTCACGTTACAGTAATATATTTTTTCTTATAAAAAAAAACATGATTACCTAATTTGTCGATTGCTCTACTTTAAATTTGTTTATTACCAGACAAACAAAAATATTTGTCGTTAGTTGAATCAACATTTTTATGAGGACAAATTACATATCTGCTGCTGTTATATAAATATATAATAATATGTCGAATATTAACCTACTTTAAAAAAGGTAACCGTCCGGCTACAAGATGAATTTATTTGGCTTTACAAGTCTGTAAAACCTTATTATTTAACCTTATTGCCAATAACGAATATCAATAATTAATTAAAACTGCCTATTTTTTTACACTATTTATTATTTCAAAGTTTGCTTTAAGATCACGAAAATCAAAATTAACTAATTCATTTCAAAAATATGTAATTTTCGTAAAGTAATAGCCAATGGGGCTGAAAATCCTCACGTAAAAACATTGTAATAGATTAAAAAATAATGGTAGCACAAATACGAACTACATCAGGATCTGCCCTAAAGGGTGATACAGCCGAAGTGGAGTTCAAAGTCGAGTCACAAGGCAAGTTTTAAGACTTTTGTCTCTCGGGTCTCTACTGTCTGTGGTATGCCTATTTTACATGAAAGACAACTGGCCAAAGGGAGTAGTGTATGGCAGCTGTCGGAGACTGCCGTACTGCCGTGAGTATTATAACCATGAAAAAAATATTATTGTTATTATTTTATATTTGTGTTAATATGTAAGGTATCTTACTTATATTATAAACGCGAAAGTATGAGAATATGAATGGATGGATGTTTGTTACTCACACAAATATTACTGAACGGATTTTGACAAAACTGTATAATTATATAGCTTATACGTCAGAATAAGACAGAGGCTATAAGTTTCATGTGGGTGAAATCGCGGATAAAACTAGTCTATTATATGGGCCATAAAGTTGCTCGAAGTAAATAAATAAAAAAGTAGAATATGAAATCGGGAGGTAGGTAGCGCACTTAATAGTAATTATGATTGTTTTATAACTAATGTCCAGTTATATAACAATCATAATTACTATTAAGTCATATTTCGCAGCAAAAATCGAAAGTGATCTCGTCATCTCGACATTGTAATGGACAAGGAGTAATATCATGATGGTTTTTACTCGCTCGTATTACTCCTGTCACAAGGGAGTCTTATCGGGTCGGGCGGGGTCTAACTGCCAAACCTAATAGCCGAACAGACTTTGGCCTCTTTGCGGGAAATTAAGGTAAAAAGGCCTGATACCCTATATTATTTTGTACAGCAATCTATGTCTCAGTATTAATAAGTACGATAAATAAAGAGTGTAAAATCAATCATTTATTAAAATAAATCTTGTTACAATCTGCCGAAATAGGAATGAAATCGAGTACCAATTCAGTCTAACTACTTTATTATTAATCAAGTCAAATAAAGTGATCATTCAAAACTGAATTCTAGATAAACTTTTATCAACATTTTAAAATTCATCTTAAATTCAAATGAAAGGTATATACCTAAGTCTTATTTACCTGCTGTTAAAAAATATCTAAACAAAAGAAAACTTTGCTTCAAGGGTAACAATAAAAAAAAGTCTTGCAATAAAAGAATGTAAAATGCCTAAAAATTGCCGGATCATCCGGACATCGTTTAGTTTGGCCGGACAAGCAATCTATGTTCAGTTTTATCCGGACGCCTGGCAACGCTATATAGGTGTAAATTCATATGTTATTCACAAATTCGAATATTTTTAATTTTTATAACAAGAAATAAAAATTAATCTTTATATTTATGTTATTAACTCTCTTAACAACAAATGATAATGTTATCTCTATATTTTTACCTA